GCCCGTTCCCAAGGACGAAGTCGCCTGTTGCGTTGAAGCCGACTGCGACTGGAAATGACAGGCCAGTCCAGTTGAGTGGTACACCGAGAGCTTGTTGAATATCGGCGTCGTTCAGGTAGCCGGCAGCCCACTTGGGAGGGAGAGTCTCAGGAAGGTTGGGTGCGGCGATGTCGAACTTGTTCTGCTGTGATGTTGTCAACAAACACCTGGATCAGGATCGGGGGGGTTTCACTCACGCCTGACTTGTCGAAGTCATCGTGTAGGTTCGAGAAACAGTACAAGAAAGCATCAAGACAAGCTTTGTTGACATCTGGTTGATTTCCCAAGCCTCTGGGGTCCTTCGCTTCTGCCAATGTTCTGCACTCTGCCGTGAGGTTTTTGCACTGTGGTGAGGCTGCAAGAGCCGACTCGTACTGCGTCTCATTGATGAACTGCAAGCCGTAGGTGTTGTTGTAAGCAAACTCCGGGTAGTAGTCGATCTGTGTATCGATGTCGATACAGGCATTGACGAGACCAATGGTATCGATATGAAGCTCTATTGCAGAACCTTTGAGACTTCCTCCAGCGATAAGGCTGTTTTGCTGTTCGAAGTAGTCCGCGTAGATGGGGTTGTAGTGGCCCGCGTAAGATTCGCCCCAGATGCTGAAGCGGTTGTCCTTCGACTTGTATCCGGGGAATTCCTGCATCCAAGTTTGCATGAAGTCATAGATGAATGGCGCAGCTGCTACCGTTGTATTTGGAGTGCTGCAGAAGTTCTGAGATGGGAACGTTCCGGTCAAGAAGGTGAGGTTTGTCTCTGGTACGCCGGTCTGAGAGAAGTTCGCTGGCTTGTACGCAAAGGGAGACGAAACCACGTCAAGTGTTCCGTTGACCAATCTGTCATATGAGTATCCGACTTGCAGTGGCTGATCGATGTATACCATGTTCACTTTGTCGTTCCATGACCACGGATTAAGCTTTGTTGTCTTAGAGTCTTCAAGGACGATGCAAGGACCGTTCTCGCCAACAGCAGCCTGGCTCGATGGTACCCCAGGGCCTCCCTGGAGCCAGATGGAGAGCGGAGCATTCTCTGCGTCGTGTCGAGCCTGGAAGAACCAGAAGTATATGTGGCTCTCGTAATTGCGATTCTTCGCTAGGTCAATCGGGAGGTTCACAAAGCCACTGTAGCCTGTGACACCTTCAGTTGTCTCGCATATGCTAGTCTGAGGGTCATTAGTACTGCTTCAATAGTACACTTTGGTACGACCTACCTTCTTGTAGGAGATCGACACACCAGGAAACTTCGTTGACTGTACGATCGTAACATGTTCTGGTTTCGGAGGGAAGGCCGCCGATGCGGCAAGTGCGAAGGGGCTCAGGGCTACGAGGGATCGCAGAATAAACATGTTCATCGGCATTTTGGATTTCTAAGCAGATAGGTCTATATTAGTAACGTTGGACCTATTGAATATGAATGAAGAGGCTGGATGTCAAACAACGCCTTCCGCCGCCATATTTAAGCTTCTTCGTGCCAAAGGCATGTCGTCGTTGCTTGAGCGCGGGAGCGTGGCTGGATAAACGCAGCGACAAGGTGTTTGCGTGCGATACACGACGGTTCGAAGCATGTTACTGGCCCTGTACATGGTCCAATACCGGATAATCATGCAAGCTTCGACTAGAGGCGTGAAAGAGCGGGAGGCTAGTTGGAAAAGCGGAGGCCTGCCGCGACCTGGCCGACCGTGCGTATCAACACCGACCGTGTCGCAGCTGCTTGAGACCTGATCGGGACTACACCATGCTGCCGTGTCTAGAGAGTTCCTCTTGGATGGAAACTTGAATCTTGCACGCGAAGGAGAACAGCGTTGTTGAAGGATGGCGCATCAGTGGGGCGGAGGATGTTTGAACGTTGTCGATCATTTCAACTGCGGCCTCGCTTCCCCGCATCTGCGCCTTCCTTCTCGCCAACCAAACACCTATCATCAATTATGTGGCGCATGGTGTTTCCTCGGTCGCAGTATGACCGGCCGGTGTTATCTTGACCGGTGATACAGCCAAGATGCAATACCGACCGACGACTCATCGCAGGCTTCGACCCATCTTGCGACCACCGCCTGGGAATGAGTCAGCCTTGTCAGCCTCCACGCGCACTACTCAGCGAAGCTGCACACAAATCACAATGATCGACTCTACATGCGAAGAGCGTAGAGGCAAAACCATCGAATATGACATTAAAGAAATCAAGACAGCTGTGCCTCCATCACTCCTTCCGTATCTGCAGCGCACACCCTCAGACCCCCGTCCTGTGGTAATCATGACATGCGGCCTTGCAGGTAATTCCCAAAAAGACATGCACACCGTGTACTAAGCCAACCATATCAGGGACCGGCAAGACCACGCTCGTGAAGTCCATACTCAAGCACCATCCCCACTTCACAAGGGTATCGAGCGACGCCATCCTCTTCGATGCTCACGGAATTTATGGCATTGACTATGCGGCATCTTTGTCCTTGTACAACCAGTATCAGGATGAAGTCGATGTAGTTTATCTCGAGACTTTCCGCAGACTCCTGGCTGAAGAGAAAGATATCATTCTCGAGCGGTCATTCTACGCGAAGGAAGATCGAGACGAGTTCCATGGGATAGCGGTAGACGGCGGCGCCAGAGTCGTGCTCGTGTTTCTGCGAGCGAAAGACAAGGAGCTGCTGTGGGAAAGGATCTGTAAGAGAAGTAGGGCGGAGAAGACAGCTGACAATGCACTGGACATTAGCAGGGAGACGTTCGAGATGTACTGGAGCGGCTTTGAGGATCCGGACAACGAGGGCGAAATTGTGATTGAGGTTGTCTAGAGGGTGTCCGCTATAGTAGTGATGAGAGGTTTACGACCGACCATTGCTTCTGAGGTGCTGCAACGGTTCTGGTGATCAACTGCTCCATCATCGCCTGAGACAAGATCAACACTCAATGATGCTTCTCATAACTCGGTGCTGGTTCGTATGCTGGCAACTGCTCTTTGAGAGCACGTGTTTCCTGAGCAGGCTGTATCGATGCTGCTTGGTTTGCGCTCGCAGAGGCAGCCGGTGGTGTCTCGTCCTAGCCGTCGTACATCGCAGACGACTCGGCAAAGGTCTCATAAGGCAGTGACACTAAGGTCTCTTGGACGCAGTCCCCATCCACCACTCATACGGTACATTAGCCGTAGCTCATAGGTCCTGAAGTTTGGAAAGATGGTCGGCAATAACTTTGTTTCGCTAAGTTCTGCGAGATGTAAACCATGGCTCATTACTTTGTTCCTCGCAATGAAGACTTTGCCAATGATCTCTTTCTCCGTGCTCTCGATGATATCACGGTCACCGGTCGCTCCCCTGTACGGAACTCAAATTGTGAGGATTGATGTAAGCTTGACGCGTATCTGTCGAACATAAACAGTAGGTATCTCAGGAATCTCGTGTGAGCGGCCGAGATGGTAGAAGGCGAAGGAAATTGGGATGCCGCTTCCTACAACCAGTAGGTATGGACGATGAGCCGTGATCTTCCATATTGCCTCATGTATTGCGTGCTGATATTTCGATAACGTCGACCACTTGAGCGTTGCCAGAGCACCCGGATTGTGTTCATTCTTGGGGTTCAAGTGATGACCCTTGAGGCAGAACTCGGGATGTTTGGGGCGCTCAACCAGGACAGCAGAAGTTTCCGAGGTGGCTATCGGCTGAAAAGGCAGCATCAACGTGATGATCTCGTCCGGCGACCAGTCCACTTTCTTGTGGGCAAGAACTTCGAAATACTGTATGTTGCTTTCGCTGTTCTCCCTATGTTGTATGTGGTTGTTGTTGTTTCTGTTGCTTCTCTTGCTTTGTTTTGTAGATCTGGCTTGGCGCGTTCGTCCGTTGTTTCGGCCTTGTGCCTGCGCACTGTGGTTCCGTTTTGCCTCTTCTTGCTCTGCTGTTCCTGGTTCTGTCTGTTTCGTTGGACGGCTTTTGCTTTGGTAGGCTTTGTTCGCGCTCGGGGCGTTGCTGAGTATTTCTCTGAGTGTGTTTGTTTTCGTGAGCTTTTCTTCTTTGGATCGTCTTCCTGCTTGTCCGTTGACGGGGCTGCTTTCTGCCTGCGCTTTTAGGGGTATGGGTTCTGATTTGGTGGTGTTATGTTTGCCTGGCCGTGAACATTCCGTCGCGTAGTTGGCTTTTCTCCTTGAGTTTCTGAGGTTTTGTCATTGTGGCTTTGCGGATGTCTGTTTGCGTGCTTGGTTCTGTTCTTTGCTTGTGTCCGTGTGACGGTTGTCTTTGCTCGTCGTCTCTGGTGTGTGCATTGTCGGCCTGTCGGTGTTGTTTTTCAGGAGTTTGACGATTTTTGGATGGAGGTGAGGTTCGTCGCTATCGCCCGGTTCTGGCTTTGGTCGTCTGTCACGGCTTTGCTCTTGCGTGTTCCCTGGGTGCTTCCTTGTCGTGTGCGTTTTGCTGGCGTCACCGTGTTTTTTCTGGCTCCGATGTTCCCGGGTTTTGTCCGTGATTTCTGTCTTGTCTGTGTCGCTGAGCTTCTGATTGTGCTGTTTCAGTTTGCTTTTGTCATCCTGCACTTTAATTATGTGCCCTGGGCTACTATTTTTCTTGTGTTTTCTACTCTCTGCTTTGGGTTGTACACCGGGTTGGGGTTGTGTCACGGTTTAGACTATGTGAGGAGAAGCTGACTATATACTGGCCCTGGAAGTCGCTACCCCAGAACAGTATATACCAGGGTAATAGGGTCTCAACCAAGACCACAACATATTTAAACACACAGAATAGTGAAATACAACCTCAGTTCAATCCTGCAATTCTTCCCACATGCGTACGGATCACTCACAATCCACCGCGACAAATGGCCTATGGCAGAGCTTGTGCACGTGTGCCCAAGCATCTTTGGGAAGCGAACGAGACCGAACAAAAGTAGATAATGCTTCAGTAAAGCCTTGGAAGGGACGAAAGGAAAGTTTACGCAACGTAATATCTGCCAAGTCCTGTCTCAGTATCATATAGTTCTATCAATGGTCGTACGCTGCAAAAGATGGTTCATGGGAGTAGAGCGTCTCCTTTCGGCTTTATCGTGATCACACCAGACCTTACCTCCCACAGCGCTACGCTTGACTGCAGCAACGATGATCACACTCATTCTCCACTTCAGGTACGTGCAGTATAGAGATCATCGTGTCTTTCCGCCTTTCATCGAACGCGATCATGGCACTCGTACCACCTTCCGCCCGGTCACCTCATACCGCATCAGCTCCTGTATGATTTTGGGGGAATCCTCGAACTTATACACCTCAATCTTCGGCGTGATCTTGCCCTCCAGCGCCAACTGAAGCAACTCCTCCATCTGCTCAGCGGTTCCAGTGGAGGACCCCTTGATGACCAGACCCCTGTTGGCGATATGGATCGGTGACATGGGAAACATGAATGTATCCGGCGGCAAGCCAACGCATACAAAAACACCATTATTCCTCACGAGCGCCGGTGCTTGCTCGTATGCCCTCTCATTACCAGCGACGCAAATGACACCATGCGCACCTTCTCCGTCTGTGAGATCCTTGACTGCTTGGACGACGTCCTGCTTGGCGTAGTCGACGAAGCCTACTGCGCCCATCTCTTTGCACAGCTTCTCCTTGTCTGCACCACTGTCGATGCCAATGACTTTGTACCCTTTCAGATTCGCAATCTGTACGCCGATATGTCCTAGACCACCTCCAGCACCGACAATTACAACATAGTCGCCAGGCACAACATCAGGGGCGAGATTCGACACCGCACCTGCCAAACTCAACCCAGCACACAGCAGCGGTGCTGCGACTTCGCTCTTGACACCATCAGGAATCGGTGTTACGAAGTCGGCATGCGCGACGGTGTACTGCTGCAGCGTACCCCACACCTGACGACTGGAGTTGACCTGCTTCGCGCAGTGATTAATCTTGCCAATTCTGCAGCTCCCGCACTCCTTGCATGCGCTCCACAACCACTTCACGCCAACTCTCTTCCCAAGCAGACCCTCCGCGGCACCAGGACCCAGTTGCACAACCTTGCCAACACCCTCATGACCTGGTACCTGCTCGTATTTGCCCTTGACTCGGAGCGCGTGACAGTCGGAGTGACAGATGCCGGAGCATTCGATCTTGACGAGGACTTCGTTTTCGCCGGGTTGTTTGACTTGCACGTCGTTGCGGATTTGGAGGACGCAGTCTGGGCCGGGCTCGTCAACCCAGGCTGCGGTCTGCGTCGAGGGTATCGAGTCGGTCGACATCTTGTGGGCTTGAAAGGTGGAGACGTTCGGGGAAGTTCGAGTCGGCCCCACTTCAGCTTCGAGTCGCGATAATGGTCTTGGTGATGAGGATATGGGAAAGGAACCGAATTGAGCCTGGGAAGACCTCAGAATCGAAAGATGAGAAAGCTCAATTTGCAGAGAGAAGCAAAAGACGGAGAAGAGAAGGATTCGGAAGAATTGGTTACATTACATCAGGAGTGGTGGTTGTCCCCAAAGCTACCCCGCTGCCCCACGCTCGGAGGAGGCCGATGATTCTGCCAATGGGAAAATCACCAGCTCCGCGTTCCGCAGGCCGAAGTCTGTTTCTGGCTTATCTAACCACCTTTCTGAACCTCACACGGTGGAGTCGGGAAGACTGAGCAGTGATCAACATGCCATACACCTCCGATACCGCTGCCATGATTGAAGGGGTCCTGCAACCGAGCATCTGCTGGCGTGTTAGCGACATAGCCAGGCTCCGTGACTGATCTAGATATGTTGCAGGCCAAGCGCTGTTGTGCACATGAAATGTATTACTAATCGTGCCGTGTGATGGCATGATTGATCGATTGATTGGTTTGATGTCCTATGTGAGTCTGAGACTATGGAAGACGAGAGAAGCAGTAGCTCCTCTGGTAATGCAAAGATTTAGTTACAGGGAATTGGATTCACTGAGAGTACAAGGGATGGTGAGGGCTCAGGCCCAAGTGCGATGGCCTGAATATAAGCTGAGCTAGGATGCTTCAAACAATAGAACACACACTCTCTTCTAAACTTTCCTATATCTACAATACACGCACCCAACCGTGCGCCAAGATACTATTGATAGACTATCTTCCACGCTTTGCTCTTGGCAAAGGAAAGCTAAGTGATGTCATCCTCAAAGACTCAAGCATATCCATTGCTCTCTTACAGTGGAGGTGAGACGACCTGGCCGTGCTCTGCACACTGTTGGAATCGTTACACGCCGGAGCAAGCTGTTGAGTGAATCTGCCAGAACGAGGTATCGGAAAACTTTATCGTCACTCGATGGTGTACTCACAGCATATAGCGACTGGCGCATACTCCATATCTTCTTCAGCCGTGGCATACTGAGCCCAATACTCATCAAAAGTAGTGGAGGTCCCCTGGCCGCCAGCGACGATTGCCCAAGATCAAGAGACCAGAAAGACCACAGGTACGGAGTCTTTCTTCCTCGTCCCGTCACCCCTCCTCCACCACACCCATTGATTTGCCACGCGCAGCGATTGCTAGAGCACTCTACCCTAACCACAAGAAAATATCAGTTCAGTATCTTGAAGCGCACTATCATGCCGGCCATTCCAAACGTAGCCTGTGGTTCGCTGTTGTCATGATTGCATATAGACTATTGTCGGCGTCTCTACCCTCAGCACAGCACCTTCCAAATGAATGTCTACGACTATGGCAACATATGAGGGCACTGCATCAACGCCGAGAGCGCCTGGGTTACTGGCGCGCATGCTGGAAATCGCATCTTGTACAGTACTAGGCCAAAAGTTTGTTCGCTTAGCGGACTTCCTCACCAAAAGTCACCTCTTTCACCTTAAGATATCTACCTTCCTAAGTAACACAGAGCTATAAAGTTATACCTTTTGAAAAAACAAATTAGTAGAAGAATATATTCTAAAAGTCTAATATCTTTATCTTATTTCTAAGCCTAGAGAAGACAGCAAAGATAGATTCTCTAAAGAAAAAATGAAGATTAAGCAGGGTTTGCTATTAGTTTCTCTTTACCCCTTCTCTAATTCTATACAAACTTAAGATTAATTGCTAAAACTTAGGGGAGTGTTAGAAAGAGATATTCACTTCTATATAATACAACAAAGGAGGAACCGACCGAGAGTGAAGCGCTGGATGCACTTGTGCGACTGGTTGAGCTTCACGTGTACCGTCCAGGAGACACAGGAATTGCTGGGACTGTGGTGAAAACCAGGAGTGTAACGTGATGGGAAGGATGACAAGGGTCTAGAAAGCTGTGTGCAAATGTCAGATGAGATTTCAATGATGCCAAAGGCTTGTAACTCGTCTATACCTGCCAGACCCGCTCTGAACGCCCAAGATAAAGGTGCCACCGTAATACAGTATGGTACAACACCTTCGAAGAAGCGCATGGATGTGTACAAAGAAAACGCTGCGCGAACGCCGAGAAATGCTGTGCTCCTCCAAATGCAACAAACGACATCCTCCCCAATCCACACATCCCACCTTCATCCCCAATCCCCACGCTCCACCTAACAACCCGTTACTCAAACCTCTCAGTCTTCGTTCTACCAAGTAACTTCTTTCCCACCGCCAATGCTTTCTGTTTCTTATTCTTGCCTTGCTCCCCGTCGTCTCCGTAGCTGGTCACCGGTCGATCCCCTTCTTCGACCACGCTGCCGTTCCTCGAGAATGGAAAACTCCCATTATTCCCCGCCGAATTTGCCCTATCCCTGCCCCTATAATTGGCAAAAGGCGTCACACTAGTGATATGCTTACTCAGACTATGGATAAGATTCGCATGCCCGGGCTCCGTATTATCCACTCTACTCAGTTCGTCCGCAAAGGCGCGCCCGTCCTCGATACCCAAGCCGTGATCATCGTGGTGGTGTCTGTGCAAGCCACCGAGAATGGAGCCGTGCGTGCTACGCTCGTCGGCGCTCGTGCCTGGACGCAGAGAGCTCTCTTCGGAGACAGTGGACACCCACGACCCTTGCCGCCCGGATGTGAAGGAGCGGCGGACACCGTCGGTCGACGAGCCGCCGGGGGAATGGTCGCGCATTGATGCGCCATCGGAGGAGAGGTCGGGGGAAGCATTGAGCATAGCGCTACTGTTTGCGATTTGTCTCAGTCTGCTCTGCTGCGTCTTGGACGGGCGGTGGTGGGAAAATTTGTTGCCTACGATGGCGCCCGCATGACTGATAAGCGCACGAATGACGTCTTTCTTCAGTTGTAACGCAAGATCGAGGTTCGACCAGGTCTTGTTGCGGTATTCGAGGGTGGGCATTTTGAAGACGAGGTCGTGCACGTCTTCGAAGTTGCGCGAGCCTTTGCCTTTGTAGGAGAGGCAGAGTGTCATTGAGGGGATGCGGACGTAGGCGAGTGTCATGTAGTTACTTGCTCGGTTCATCATCTGCGTAAGATCGTCGTGGCGCTCTTTCTTGTCCTTCTTGTCTGCACGCTTGTCGGTCATTGTCATGCTTGTGCCGGTACGGTAGAGCGTGAACTTCTTCGCGGTGCGCTCGGACTCGTTTGCTGTCATAGACGATGTGTTGGAGCGGACTGATGCAGGCCTGCCATGGATGTTGAGTGAAGAGCCTGACGGCGTCGCTGCAGAGTTAGGATGCAGCGTCCGACGCAGTTCAGTTCCACTGCGGGATGCATTGTCATCGCGGAACAGTGATCGGAAGCTGTTCAAGCCAGGCCTCTTTTGTGGGCTACTCTTGACCTTGCTCGCAGCCCTGTCGTTCGGATCTGGTAGCTTCAACGTTGGCGTCAGTCGCGACTTGATGGCAGCGGCTGCTTCGTCTTGTGATATGGAACTGCTCATGCTAGTGTTGACGCTCGAAGTCATGCTGCCGTTAACATCGTTGTCCTCGTCGTCCTGGGATGGCAGTGTGTGCTTGATCATGAAGGGTGACGAGTTGCCATTCTCCGCGTTCTTGTCTTTGATGGCAGGGAAGATGTATTCGAACAGCTTCTTGCCGATCTCCCACTCCAGCTGAACCTTGAGTGGGTACAGCATGACTTCGAAGTGCTCCATAACGGGTATACCGGCAATGGCCTCGAGCATGACAAACTGTACCTTCAAGCACTTAGCGTTCTCAGGCAGCTGTTTGTTGTTCTCCAGATAGGGCAAGATCATCTCCGGGTACAGTGCGTTCGGGAGCAGGTTCAGACCGCGTGCTTCCTCGATCTCCAACGAGTTGAAGTTGGACCCATCATTGTTGTCGGTACGATCGTACAGTACGTTCTTCAGCTGGAACTCTGCGAGAGACTCTTGTCCTTCGCGTAACAAGTGCCACACGATCTCTGATGCAGAGATGTACCATCGAAGAAGACCAGTCGACTGCTTAGCTTGCGCACGGTCGTCCTGCTTGCGCTGTGCGGTGGTAATGGCCTTCATGACGAAGAACAGCTCATCCTCATACACTGCCAGGTCCTTCTCCACCTCAACACGATCTTCCCAGCCCTGCTTATCGAGGTACTTCTCGTTGACCTGGAAGACCGTCTTGATCTCTTCAAGTTGTCGAATACGCTCCTGGAGACCGATAATCAAGCTAGGTGCACCTGTGAGATCACTGAAGTCGGAAGCCAGCATAATCTTCTCGAGACGCTCGTTGCGCGTCTTCTCAAGCGGCTCGCGGTACAAGAGTAGATCCAATACAATGACATACATAGCGTAGTATTGTCGTGAATCGCATAAGGCGCGGACGTGAGGAAAGTCAACCCAGAGATGGTCAATCCTACTCTCCATGTTCTGCGCGCTCTTCGATGATGCAGAGTCTCCAGACACGTCGTCGTTGTATTTAAGACGCAGAGTGTTGTACTTGTCGTATCGCATACTGGCTGACGTCCTCTGCACCACCCTCTGGAAGCCATAAGGATTCGTATGGAACTCGAACATGACCTCGAATGGGACCCAAGGCGGCCAAGCCGAGCCCGCTGGAGTTCCGTATGTGCTTCCAGAGTACATATGGATGTCGTCCATGCCACTAAAGATCTTAGCGTTAGTGACAAAGATCTGGAGACTGTCCATGGCAGCAGTGAAGCGGCGTTGCACTAGACCGGAGACCTCGTCCATGACTCGATCCTTATCCATGATTTGCAGGACTTTGAGTTGCATGCCCTTGGCGGTTACGAGCACAGCAGCTTTCGTGTTACGCTCACTCTGCAGCTGGATCTGAGGGGCGATGAGGCGGACGATGTATGCGTTCTGGGGCACGTAGTCTGCATTAACATCTTTCTCAGCCGAATCTTGCTTCTCTTGTGCTTCCTTATTCTTGTCGCCCTCCTCGAGCTCGTCAGCATCGACGAACTTCTTGCCATCTACAAGGAGCTGCTGAATCGTCTCATCGATGCTGAGACCTTGGTCGCTCTGCGCTTTTGGTGTCGTCGGATCCATATCAGGGCTTTCGTATTCGAAAGATGTGGACGGTCCGCGTGACTTGTTCTGCTCATCCACAACATCGAGGATGAACTTGACTGCTCTTCGAGACATGTAGTACACGAAACCTCGACGCTGACTGACTTGATGGATATAGCGCAGGATGATATTTCGCAACGAATTGCCCCACTTTAAGTGTACATTGTGGATGATGAAACGGTTGTTGAAGTCGCTGATATAGTCAATGTTAGGTTTTGAGTCCATTCCTTTGGTATCGGAGTCATTCGCTGGGTCTTCGCCGTTGGCTTCGTAGAACTCATCGTCAGTATCAGGCTCCCCTTCAGGTACGGCATTCGCCTCGTTAGCTGCCAGTCGGTCAAGAAGACTCTCGTGCATCGAGGTGAGAAACTCCAACTTCCGTTGCAAGAACAATGCGTGGCTCTTGAACGTGTTCAGACGGCGCTCCGCTTCCTTCTGGTTCTCATCGAGCTCACGAACGACCTTGACCTCCTGTTCGCCAATTGCGCGGTGGTTGTGCTCAATTTGCTTCTTGATCCGTTCGATTCGCTGTTCAATGAGGCCGCACTGAATACGTCGCGGGTCGTTGCGTGCTGACATGACACAATGGTGCGTTGGCTCATTACCGAACGCACTGGTTCTGTGGATGTCTCCAGAGATATTGTCGGCGTGATCTGTCTGGCGGAAGTAGGTGAAGTGAGGTGCAAAAGCAAGTGGTAGGATCTGCGTCTCAGGATGACGATCTGCTGGCAAGATCCACCCGAGCTCAATAAAGTCATCCATATCGACCCAACCCCAATCGTTGTCAGGTATAGTGAACTTCGACAGATCCGCCCTGATGTACTCTTGATTAAAGCTCGCAGCCTCTTCAACCGTGGCATTTTCGACATCGTCTGAGTCAGTCCCAGCTATGCTTGCTGATACAGCTCGCACATCCGTTTTGATGAGATCCAGCTGGACCTGATTGATGCGCATACCAGTGGTTTGGTTCTGCTTACTGTCCTCTTTACCTTTGGGCGCTTGGACGACTGTACGGAACTCCTCACGACGCTGATGAAGATCGAGCATGAAGCTGTCCACACGCGCCTTCAGTCCGGTGGCAGACACAACGCCCGAGCCGTAGTCTTCAGCATCCTTATGCTTGTAGATGTGGCTCATGTACAACGGCGAGAGTAGCAGATTGTACTTGATCGTTGCGAGATGCCGGCCAAACTTCTTGCTTGACTTCTCTACGCCAGGCCACAGCTTGCCTTGGCGGACTGGCAGTGACATGGCGCCCGAGAACATGGACCACCAGTTGTAGAAGTGGGTAAAAAAGCGGGGTGTGAGATGCACACTGTTGTACGTCTTCGAAGCGTCTTGGTTGGCCACTGACCATTCTCGATCGTACGGTGCGGCAATAGCGATAGACATATGGATATGATGGCTGCGGAAGCCACGAAAAGCGTCGTATTCCTGGTCGTTGTCAGTGGCTGCAGTATGAATGTAAGATTGCTGACCTACCTTTCCATTTGATGGCTTTGCATACTTCGGGTTCTTGAGCGCAACATTGTAATGAGGAATGAAGTCAAACGATCTCCCACCACTATCCAGATTGCGTTCAAACACCAATCCGACACCCCATCGCACGTTGCCGTTGAGCTTCATCACAGTCTTCTTGAAAACAGCAGCCTGCCTGCGACTCGACAGACTTGACGCGCTCTCGGGGCGGCTGGACTCGGCGTCAGACTCGTGACGTGCGTATTGGCCAAGGTCAGGTATGGCGAGGACGTAGCTTCCGCTTTTCACGACCATGAAATTGCGCGGATCTTCGTCTTCCGCCAGAGTGAGCTTGACGTCGTTTTGCCAGCACATGACAAAACCGGCGCCATGGCCTGTGACCATGTACGGATCGCGAGAACCTGGTACTATTAGCTATGTATCGCATCAAAAATGGAACGACTTACCCTTGAGGATGAGGTGAACATCACCGTCGCCCTTCCATGAAATGTTGATACGTGAGTGGAAGGTCAACCTGATCTTATCCCAGAAGCCCACACGCTCCGACGGGTCAACAGCAGGCTTTGTGAAGTTTTCGATGATCTGCATCATGTCCTGAATAGCTGGCTGGTAAGATGTGCCCCACGTGATCCGTGTTGGATACGCTGAGTTGATGTCGACGTTCATGTCCGAGTAAGTCTTGACAGGTGCTACTGTACGGCGCACGTCAACCGCGAATCCGCCTGAGAGCTCGCCGGACAGCGTCTCTTCCTTGGGCACGACCACCACCCTGCTGACTCGTGATGACTCGACATCTCTGAACTCTTCTGCAATCACGAAGTCCGTTTTCAATGATAGACTTGGCAGACGCGATGATCCGACATTGCCTATTGAAGGAATGTGTACGAGTGGCAATGGATAGTCTCGAAGGTGGAGTTTGGCTTCGCCAGCGTTGATTTGGACGTGCATGGGAATCAGCAGCGAGTACTGCATGTCAGTCGGCATGCCCTTGCCCACACGCTGGAGGAACTTGGGGTACTCTGACATGGGGAAAGAAGGTTTATCGATAGTGATGTCGAGATCACTGACAGCGAACGCCATAAGCGCGGGACGTTGAGGAATAGTGAGGATGGTCTCTTTCTGCTCGACATCGTCCGGCAGCTCATCCAGACCCCAGAACATAGAACGGATGTCGTGCATCGAGCGGTTTTGGGTTGCGAGTGCGTGGTCAATACGCTTCCTCCAGGTCTGAGCGTTGAGAACCTTCAACTTCTCGCGAGCAACTTCGACAGACGTCTGGCTAGAACCGCTGAGGCCACTGAAGCCGTCTTTGTTGTATCGCATAGGTCGATCACCATCAAGTGAACCTTGGTCGATCGAGTCTGCGCTCTTGGTCCGGCGGTGGAACCTGCGATGTCCACCTTCCCTGTTCTTAGATTTGTTTCGACCCCGATGACCATGATGCCCATTGTGGGCGGATCTGGCGCGGTATCGAGAGCCACCGCTTCGAAGCTCGTCTTGTTGCTGCAGCTTCTTGACCTTGAGCTCGAATGCTTGCTCTCGTGCGAGCCGCTGCTTCTGCTCCATAAGACCAATGCGGTAGATGGTGCCGAGCTTCCATTCGAAAGAGCTGTCTTCGAGCTCGAACAGGACAGCGCGACTGCGCAACGAGATCTTCGGCACATGTTTGGGGCCTTCTGGTTCCTTGTCTAGTACGTACTCGTTCGTGCCTGTCTTGAAGCGGTGATGCATCTGCTTTGCCACCTTTGTGATATTCGTGATATTGTCAAAGATCTTGTGTACGACCAGCTGATGCGGTACGGCAATTCTGATAGCGTCCGTAGCGACGTCGATCGACTTGTCATCGGTGACCGTATGGCCGTATCGACGTTTCGTCTGCCTATAGTCTAATCGCAGTGACTTGACGCTCACTATGCGGCTCCACACGCGTTTGACGTTAGGGTTCTCGGCATACAGCCTGACAAGACGTGATCGCAGAAACGGGGGCTGCCACCTATGCTGCCCAGCATCCACACCATATATCTGCAACATTAGCGGTGGATCAGATGGCATGTCTGCCTTGATCTGGATGAATTGGGCCTTGAAATCCACAGTGACGATCTCAGGACTCGCGCTGCCCATGGGACCGAACATGTCGCCGTCAATCGATGGCACCGCGAGATGCGTAGGCGATAGAACTGGCGACATCGGCGACATCGGTTCGTCCAAAGGTACGGGTTCTTGCGGCACGACGAACGACTGCCGCAGGACCTGCATAGCCATGCCCATTGCGAAATGTCGGTATAACGAGTATCGTAGGTACAAGCGCTGGGAGAACGAGTGAATGTGGAAGATTGGTCCTTGCTTGTCGGACGTCGTACTGAACGCCACTTCCATGCGCGGTAATGACAGGGAAGGATCCTGCTCCCATTGATCGGCAGCTTCAATGACAAAGCCTTCCAATCCAGCGAAGTGAAGGGCGAGTCGTCTACCATCTGTCGCGTCGCCTAAAGGCTTGTTAGGCGACTTCGGTGATGGAGATGTAGGTGGCCGCATCAGGTGCTCGTCTCGATTGATTGTTCGACTAGGTGCGCGACGACGGACCGGCTTAAGATCGCTTTCGTCATCCCGGCTGTGCTTGTATTCGGCTGTCCACGATTCGAGGTGTACCGCTGCTCCACGACTGTGCTTCGACACGCCCTCGTCGACACCGGCAACTTCAATGTTGAAGTCTGAGCCTTGCAGATGTATGCATGCAAGCCATGGAGGTAACTTGCGAAGGAAGCTGAGACCCTTCTTCTTAGGTGCGCCCCGCTTCTTACGCCTGTCTTTCTGGAGATGCGTCACGATCTGTCGTAGTCCCTCGCTGATCTCTGGTCGAACGAGATAGAAAGAGAAGGTCTGCGCCATGCCACGAAGTTCGACTGTGACGTCTGGCGAAGCACTGAGTTGCATCTTGAACTCTAGGTAATCTGTCAGAAGCAGGCTATGCTTCTCGATCGACGCAGTCTGGTAGTACAGTTGCTGTGCGTTCATGCGGAAGGTCGAGAGCAGCGCATAGTGAAGCTCGCCATCGGCGGCATGTGACGACTCGACATCTAGCGACAAAGACGAGGAGGCCGAGATCAGCAGATCAAACTCATCGGTCCCTCGCCGTTCGGGGTCCATTGGCGGCAATGTCACTCTTATGACAGGTTCGTGGATGGAGATCTTGATGTTCGCCTTGGGCAACAATCGACGGATAAGGTATCGCTTGCTGTTCCGGGTCTTCTGAGGCTTCTTGCGCGATTCGTAGCTGTTAAACATAGACAATAGTAATGGTAGGTGCTTGGGATCCAGATCCAGCGATGGTGAAGTAATGACGAGATTAGCGAAAAGAATGTTGGTGTTGCGCTCGACGCTATCCTTGTCGCTCGAGAACTGAATGGTCTTTGAAGGGAGGGTCGTGTTTAGCGTAGTCGTAGCCATCGGAACGTAGAGAAGACGCTCTGGGTGGCCGGAGCCGTCGTCGATACCGACGGAGATGGAGATCGCAGCGAGTAGGGCCTGGTGTGCTATATCGTTCGGCGAGAAGTACATGAGATGCGCGGGACTTCGTGGGTCCAGTCGTAGCAGGTCCATGCCAACCTCCTTCATCGCCACGTTGAGGTAGACCTCTGGCTCGTTCTTGCGACTGGCCCTGATCTGCTTGGTGAGACCAACGAAGCTGATGGCGAATTGGAACTCGTGGATGCCGCGCAAGATAGAGCTGGCAAACTCTCTCGAGTCGGATACGGTCTGGACAATGCCCTGCTCTCGACTTCCGGGATGATCGAGCTCTTCCATAACGTCAGTGAGGGAGACGACCAGGTGCCTGGTCTTGACGTCTTTCTCCTTCTGTGTCGACGCTGGCCTGCACTTCTTGGCGCGCTCCACACACAGCTTGACGTCGTCGTAGGGAATGCTCAGACGCCCCAGCTTGAGAGCGATTGACGCATCTCGCAGACCTTCCAGCTCTTTCTTGAGAAAGCCATGAATGTTCAGTGTGCAGTGATCGAGCACCTCGGTCGACTCGCCCCCCTCTGGTGTGAAGAGGACACTGCGCAGTGTGAGGTGCCACTCGGCGGGCCGTTGCTCTTGGCTCGACTTGAGCTTGTGGTGGTTGAAGAGGCGGCTGCGGTCCACTGTTTTGCGCCTAGTATCGACAGCGAGCGACAGGTTGCCCACCTGCACAGACCCAACGTCGAGGACCACACACGTCGTGGAGTAGGCCAGCAGGTCTACCATGCAGATGTAGTTAATCTGCCTGTGCAGCCGTTTGATCTTCTCCTTCATGTCCGTCAACCGCTTCCACGTCAGACTCCGCCTGTGCTCCTCGCTGCCACCTGTGTCCTCATCCTTGACCGCCACCTCGGGCGTGTTGGTCCCGCTCGTGTTCTTCTGCGCAGAGCCATTCGACCAATTCGTCCATCCAGTCTTCCGCTTTGGCTTCTCGCCCAGCGCCTTCAGGTCGACCGTGACCTTGAGCTCGGTCAACACGATGCTGACCCACGTCGGCTGGGCGAATGTGGGGCGGTGGAGGGAGAAGCCAAGGCCACGGATCTCGATGCGCAGGCCATCCTTGGGCGTGAATGCAATGCGGCGCAGGCCCGAGTAGCCCAGTCGTTGTATGGAGACGCCGGTGACGACGCGGATGAAGGCGAAGAGCACGAAGCTCAGCAGGTACAGCAGGAGCAGGAGCCCCGCCAGGAACTGGAGCGTGGGCAGGGCCATTGTGAGCGCTCAACCTGCATCCATTGACTGCCGGTGGCTGTTCGGGGCTATCGCATGTAGTTCGCGCGGGTGCACGTGAGGTGCCTGGAGAATTCGAGGGGCGGCCTGCTGGGCATAGTCGAGGGGGTAGGGGCAGAACTAGGACCGGGCACGCATCGAGGGCTATAGGAGATTCGCAGCGTGGATTATCGGGGATGACGGAGATAGCGGCGCGCGCGGAGGAATCGAGAATCGAAAGCGCGGGTCGCTCGGATGTGCTGGTCGTGTGCGTGTGGCGACTGTAGCGGTGCGTCTGGTGTCTTGTCGACGAGCAATACGGATGGGAGGCGGGCGTGCCTATGCTCTCCGCAGTTCGCGGGGTGCTATGGATGGGTTCACTCAAACGGCAACACGCAACGCATTGGGCATGTCAGCACCAAAATTTCAAGCTTCTTCGGCACCCTCATCCGGCGCACGGCCCCTGTCTCTCACACGTCACGCATTCGTTCTCGTTCAGCACCAGCTTTCAGCATTCGACGTTTGGCGTTCGAGACCATTCATCTCGTCGCTTGTCATGACGTCATTGCTCTACTTTGCTGAAAAGCTGTATAGCCTACTACCGTCTACCTGTCGAAGCCGTCAGGGCAAGGCTGGGCACAGGCTTCCTCACCAGAGATGGACGAGGCACGCGACACACGCTCGGTGTTCTTCCTGAGCTCACAACGGTGTATTCCGAGTCTCAGCAATGGAGATCAAGCCTCCCTCTCTCCTGCTGGTAGCTCGGTCTCTGATCCGCCATCCACTGCCTCAGCCTTGCCTGGGCGCGACTTCTTGACCTTCTTCGGCGGCAAAGACCCGAAACAGAGCGCCCACTTGATAATGTCCCTCTTCCTCCGCTCCTTGTCCGATTCATCACCTCCGTCGTCCTTGCTGGCGTCTGGACTTTCCTTCTCATCAACGTTTACCTCCGTCGTCCTCTTACCATCTTCGCCCTTCGTAAGCACTGCACGGTTTTGATGTCCTTGCGAGGCCGAAATGCGTTTCAGCTTCAACTTAGCTTGTTGTTCTTCGACATGGCGTGGTGCCTTGTCGCTCTTCAGCATAACTTGGTATCTTGGATTCTCATCCAGGTGCTCGATGAAACCGCCCTGCTGTGCCGTTGGCTTCCTCGCAGGGGGAGAAATAGTGGGCCTTTTCACCGGCGGAGCACTCCGGAAAGCGCTCACAAAGGGAGGAATGCGGGCTTTTGCGCTGTTGGCTTCCTGGCTGGACGGCTTTGGCTGGTGCCTTCTGAGGAAGCGATCCCTCCAGCGACGTTTGTTGAGATCCTTCGAAGGAGGTGGAGGGTGGGTTGTGCGATCGGCCCAAGAGGCCTTCCACGTGGTCCAGGGATTTACTTCAGCATGTGTCCACGCCGTGGCATCCATTGACAGTGCACGCGGAGAATCGTGATACGCGGTAGCTAGCCATGCGGGCGATTGGGTCATTGGGACATTCGCGAGGCTTCTCAGGTCGCCATATCTGAGGTTCTTCTCCATTACGAAGTTGGAAGACGCCGTGGCAGCGAGAAAGCGGAGGTAGTCACGGTGGATTCGCGTGTTGTTGACGTGGGCATCCCGCGCTTGGAGACGACATTGCCTCTCGCGGTACATCTGTCTTGTGCTGACGCTCTTGAGTGTTTCCTCGGGTTGAGGTGGTGGAGCTGCTGGCGTGAACTGGACGAGCGGCGCCATGTGAGGTCCTGGCTCGACTGGAGACAACCATATCTGAGGGCCCTGTGCATCCTTGGGTGGCTGCAGGGTCTGCAACGTCTGCCTATTCTGTAGCACCTAGCTCTGGGCAAGACTGGTAGAGTGGGCGACGATAGCATTGTACGTGCGATGCTGGTTGAATCCGACATGCTCATCCAGTACGTGCTGGAACTGGTCTGGAGAATCCATATTAGATGGGATGGTATAACTAACGATGGAAGTAGTAGTGAGTGGATAATGATGGGATGGCTGCTCGCGGAGCGACTGTGTATGTTTGTTGTTATGAGGACGGAGGAGTTCAAAGGCTGTTTTGGAGTCAGAGCCAACTGCCACTTCTTCTTTCGCTGACAGCAGGCAGCAGCGACGACTCGTCAACCTGAGCCCTCACCACTCCACGTGCAACAGAGTCGTGACCCTAGCGGTAGACTCATCCATGGATGATCACGAGACTTTCTGATGTGCTTCCAAGGTGAAGGCAACATACGTGCCAGGTGGCTATAAGAGGCATGACGATGCTCTTCCACTCACCTTTGGAAGCACAAAAAGCGCACCTTCTTCTATCCCTTTCCTGTCACCTGCAACTACGACTGCCACTCTCAAAACCACTTGCGCCTTCCTCCAGTCGACCACGATATCTGCTACACCGTACATCGTGTCATTCGACCCTCAAGCAACCACTCGCTTACCAAACTATCGCTACCACATCGCCACTACCATGGCACCGGTAGAATTCCATCGCTACACCGATGCCCGCGGCGACACCATCATCTACAAGTTCGACCCGGACATTGCGCGCAAGTCCAACCCAGCGTGGCCCAACGACTCCGCAGTCAGCGTCTACCATCACTACATCATCAACAAATACTGCACCGTCAACTATCACTCTGACTTCCTTCCCCTAGACCTCGCCATGGACCGCTGGCGCAACGACAAGCAGTCCTCGCAACCCATCATCGGCATGGTCATGCACAAGGAGGACGCCCACGCAGAGGATGGCTGTGGCGCGCAGCTGAAGACGCAGTACATCTGGAAGGGCTGGGCTCATGGTGAAGGCTATAGGCGAGGCTGGGCTAAGCTGTGTGTCTCAGGACCTCCGGTGAATGGCTTCTCTGTAAAGTCGCCGCTGATCTGGAAATGTTAGGGAAATGCGCGGCCTCGGTGGGTCGAAGCGAGTCATTGTCATGCAGCGGGATAAGAGCAAAGGACCCACTGAGCCTGTCTGGAGCCCACTCCTCGAGTGAAAGTTGTGGCGCCGATCGGAGAGAGGAAGCGGAAGGATTCGAAGGATTTACAGGAATTGAAAGACTTGTATGCAATGGAAGCTGAAGAGTCACTGGAGGCTATGGAGGACCGCGGAGGCAGCCAGAACAGCAATTGGTCCAATATATTGGCCGATCTTCCGGATAAGCAACAGCCGCAGGTCAAGATGAAAGGCGGCATGAGGGAGTTGCACAATGAGCCCGAACAACCTATTGAGGGGCACGAAAAAGACGAAGATGAAACAGCTTCCACGCCCAATCAAGAGCCCGATAAGCGCAAAAACAGAAAGGAAAGAAGGAGGAAGTGGAGTATACTATTGATGACCCTGCGCCGAGCATTGCTTTGGAAGATATACCAAGCGATGCGGCGTGAAATGGACCAGATTATTAGAATGGGATCCCAGAAGTTGGATCGGATCGCCAGATTTTGTTCTCAGCATCTGGACAAGATGGCCAAACTTGGTACTCAGGAGAGGCAGACCATCGATAAAGTTCTTCAACAACACCCAGACATCTCTCCGGAGGATATGTTAAGCGAGATACAGCGTAGAATGAAGGCAGCTCATCAGCAGGACCCCATTACCGATATGCACGAAGGAAAGCAGGAGCGTGCGGCGAGCAAGCTCTCCAAACAGGACAGGATAAGAGCGACAAGAAAAGGCAAAAGCTGGAGGTAGTCAACAGACTGGCACACGAAGACTGGCCTGGCGTGCTGTGAGTAGAGACGCATCCTCTTTTAAGATAAGTCGGCTGACACGGGGAGAGGTACATACCCAGATAGATTCCTTACTTGCACAATTTGAATCTCCATACTGTTGCCACTAGCTGATATCCGAACCCTTAGTGAAAGGTTGTTTTGATGAACGAGGCCTGGCAGTTATGTTCTGCTTCTCGCCATCAATACATAGTGCATACACGGCACCAGTGCTAGTCTGTATTTTTGCATGTTCTTCTCTCGCAACCGCACCCCCACGAATCGGAAAACTCAACCTGACATGTCTCAATCCAGCCCCCTCCCCACATCATTAGATATCGGCCACGCCATTGACCGGCTCTATGATGCGCCCCAAGACTCATCTCCCTCCCTCCCTCCAGCATACACATTCATTGCCCACACAGGGAGCGGCACGTACGGCGATGTATACTTCTCCCTCCCTACCTCTGCCACAACTTCAGCATGCACTGACACGACGGCACAAGCTGACCTTGCAATAGGGTGCAACGATCTGACGAAACAGACTGTAGCCGCCAAGATGTGTCATGGATCGAGTAGACCCACGCTTGTTAATGAGGTGAAAGCTTTGCGAGTTGTTGCTGCTACCAATGAAATGGCGGAAGGAAACGCGTGTCGCGCCGCGATGGTGAAGTGCGAGGCTTTCCCTCGAACTTCTTTATTACGGAGTTTGTTTGAGCAGCGACGCACATCTCTTAACTACCTCCACCCTCCCTTTGATGTGCAGTCTGGAAGATCTCAAGTCTCATTTCGAGACTCTGTCCGAGGTCTTCACGTGGCTCATCAACATCAAGGTAGGCGAAGCACTAAAGTGGCTGCACCAAGTGTGTAAACCCGGCATCGCACACGGTGACATACACTTAGGCACCATTCTCATACGCTACCCATCCCTTGACCTAGACGAAGAACTTCAGCTGCCACAAGTGAAATTGATCGACCTCGGCACTTCAAAGACCCAAAACGCCGAGCCAGGCTACGAATACACCATCCTCTACAACCAAACTATACGCAAAGATCAAACCACATTTCTATTCGTCCTCTCTACACTGTCAGATGGCACCACAAGTAGAAATCAGTGAATTCCGCACCTTTGTAAAGCAGGCGCTGGAGAAGAGTTCCTGGGACCATGAGGAGAGTTTGGACGAGCTGGGGAGGAGGTTTGGAGATGTTGCTGGACGGGAGCTGGGGGCTGTTAGGGAGGAGGAGTGTATGGAGATTTGGGGGGTTGTGATGGTTGTTACAGAGAAGCAACGGGAGAAAGTAAGGGCGAGGATTGGGGGAGTTGTTGGATGGAGGGAGTTGAGTATGTTGTCTCGTAGGGTGTCAGACAGGCCAAGCGTTCTCCGATTGGCTCCAAATTTCCTCCAATTTCAGCATCGTTCAACAACAATGCCTCATCTGGCGATTCACAGTTGCCATGTAGATTTGAAAAACCGTATTGTTTGCCATAGCCTATCGCAATGATGATGGACCTGGTTTTGGCAAAGGTGACGAGACGCTCGTTAATGAAAGCGTAAGAAAGACCTGGGAGTTAGACACCGCAGATTCCGAGTGTCGCAATCCACTTCGCAGTTCTGCGAGAATGTAGATTCATTCCATCCCGACCATCACTTGTATGCCTCCAGAGTACCTCATCCAGGCTTCACCGGCCTTCTTGACTTCTTCCTCATCCTTGCGAAGCGTTGCATGCCTCTTCAGCACCTTCTCAAGGTTATTGAACGCCCCGACCTTGTTGAACCAAGTCTCTGCATTTGTTGCCAACATTGCATCGCTGGCCTTACAGTTCACTGCATAGACACTCGCGGCATATCTTCTCTCCGAATCGAATGTCATATTACGAATCAAGGGTACGTCGAACTCTATGTGCTGCAGAAAGGCCTTTCGGGCAAGTCTTGGAGACCATCACGTTAACCTTGGTCCTGTGAAGATGCTGGGTGGCTTACGCTTGACGCGCCAATCGTGGTATCTGATGTAGTACCGTGAGTTGGTCATCTTGTGGTACGAGCAATTCGTGAGAATTTGTCAGTACCCAGGGAACGTCCCCTTAGCCCTATGGGTGGTTCGGATCTGTCCGCTAGTCCAACTGGGTCTAGCTCGTTCACAGCAATATTTCTCCTACTCACTTCGTAGTCTGGACAGACAGAATGACACACAATACTTCTCAACCGTTCCCATTGACAGAATTACACAGAGCAGTCCGTCTGCGAAGACACCGTAAGTGTCGAATTTTGCCTTGGTCTTGAGGTAAAGTACTCATCGAGTGCGCAAAACAAACGTGGATGAGCCTCTACGTAGAGGCGATTGAATTTTTCGAAGTCCCTAAGGAAGTAGGTAAGCAGAATGATCATCATAAGTCCCCACCTGATTGGAGGGAGCAGCGACGCTCTGGAAATGGGAACATGGGTTATGGAGCGGATGAGGATTGAAAGGGTAAGCGAGAGACGGGCGTAGAAGCTTCCAACACCGACCATTGGCGAGAGGAAGGAAGTGGCGTATATTCGCTTTACCTTCATTTGAAGGCATGTGAATGCTTTTGATTTCAATATGCTCGCAGATATAAGCGCGACTGGTTAACGCTCTGCTTCTTTCGTTCGCAACCTGTAAACAGCCATAGTACTCCACTATCCGTGCTCAAGACAACGTCGTGGCATATCTCAGCTTGTTATCTTTTCTGATGTCACCTGAGCGCGTATAGTGTCCTCCATTTTGACCATACCCTGAAGGCCTTTCACTCATTCAAGCCATGAGCCAGTCCTCCATATCGTTCAGCGCAGCAGCCTTGCTAGAGTGGAACTCCTGGGTAGATACCACAGTGCTCTTGCCACCAGACTTGTTTTTTGCCATGAATTCACCCGTCCATTGCTCAGCAGAAAAGTTATGATCGTTAGGCGCCGGCTTGTGCTTGCGAACGAGGATGTTGGTGTAGAAGCGGCTGCGTTCTTTCGCCACCACTGTGATAAGATCTTAGTAATGCTCAACTTGACGCTAGAATCGGTGATCCTCGAGGTCTCGATGCTACGACCTACCTTTGATGCGCTCGGTCTGGTCTTGATGACGGAGGCAGAGTTGAGGTAGTAGAAGCGCGTCATTATAATGAGAGCGCACAGGACGGTCAAGGCATCGATGACATCTGTCGTCACTCTGTCAATCTGGAGCCACGAACCTCCAGACTAAGCTTACCCATGCCACTAAAGGGGTCGCGGTGACCTCTCAGAGTACGGATGAATGGGTTGATGATACCCATGAAAAGGCCATGGAGTCGAAGGATGTCTATGGGACGCATCATCTTTGCGAACGGAAAGACGATTGTGTGGAGGTATTCAGTAAGGACGAAGGTGTTGGAAAGGCAGTTGTTTGCGAGGAGGATCAAAGCGAGCACTGGCTGGAGGATAGATGTACAAGTGGCTTCCACCTCACCGTAATTGTGCACAGACCTTCCTGTCGAGCGTTACGTTCAAGCTCTCACACTCTATCGATCCAGATCTTGATCGAGGACCGCTTTGCCTGCATCCCTCCCTGTGTCCTGAGTCCTACATTTGGTGGAAGTAACCTGAGAGCTCCTGGGCGGCGTCTGCTTTGTTAAAGTGACATCTCTTCGTCGAGGCCAGGAGGTGTTCACAATCCTTCTTGTCCATAGCCTTCACCTCGCCAACCCACCTGTTATCATACGCGAGTCGGGTCCACCATGTTGGTTCCAATCTGCGCACATTGCCCTCCACGTTGACGTATGTGGGCTTTAGAGGCTTCTTGGAATAGTCACATTGGCTGTTGGATGCGATGATGATGTCTAAAATCATTGTCAGCAACGACTGGAACGGAGGCTATGGCTGGCATTTACCCTTGACGTGCTGGATGTGTCCCTCAATCACCGAAGCAGAGTTGAAGTAGTAGTAACCGGCAATCATCTGCAAGGTCCACAGAATCGCGATGATGTCCACAACACCTAAGATAATCAGGCCTGAACATCAACGATTCAAAGTGATGTTACCCATGTTAGTGACAGAGAGTCCTTGTGCGTGAAGCAGTGCATGGCTGATGCCAAGGTATAGACTAAGGATGTGTACGAGATTCAGAGGGTGCAACATCGTTGCGTTTCGAAGAGGTGCAGACTGAATGAGAGCGAGGTGAGAGGAGGAACGGAAGGTGATGGGCTTGCAAAGACAGAAGGTGCGAGCACAGGCCACAAACAAATGCTGGCAGCAACAAATCTCTGACTTTCCGGGACCCGCAAGTTTGGGCAACGTGTTTGAGGAAATCTGTAAGCACGGGACATATGATGTTAGTCTACCTTGAAGCTGTTCGGTGCACTCATGGATCGTAGTCACCTCTTCGCAACCTATACCACAACAGCCGTCGACATCCTCCACTGGACAAGCTGTGCAAACACTCGTCCCACTTCAAATTGTGGAAAGCTGACTTCTCGTCTGCACCCGTGCCTTAACCTACCGCAAGTACACACCTGCTGTTGATTTGGCTTGCTATCATTCCATGCACAATCGCAGTGCACTTGGTTTGCGTTGTTGAAGGCTCATACCGGCGACGCTCGTACTTGACACTAATCTTGAATGTGTCGTAGTCGCGATACAGGTGCCTTGCCGCATCTGCTGCGTGATTAGTCGCTTAGGCTTCTAGAAATGCGCTGAGCGTACCATGCAGTTGTTGGAACTCGATCTCACAGCTTCTGCCTCGGTGACAGCGCCTTCTAGCCTCGTTCCAGGCCGAGTACGGACTTCCGGTTCCAAATCAGAAGCCTACCACTACGCCGCCAGAGACGGCTGTGAGGACGAGAGCGGGCCTGTTGAACTTGAGAAGCGCTATGGCTATGGCGAGTATACCGGGAACAGCTAACGCGATGACAGGGTCGAACAACGGTATGCTAGTACGTGGAATACCTCCAGAGTTGGCCATGCCGATCTCGGTAGTGAAGCTAGGACAAGGATGTTTGCTGAAGTGGAACAGGGCGTGTAAAGACAAAGAGCAGAAGCATAAGGTTAAGGCACGAGTCGCACGTTTGCGCCCAGCCTGGCCTCATGGAAGCGTGGAAAAAAAGCGCGAAGGAAGGCAGAATGTTGACAAGTGGAGTACACAGAGCAAAGCTTACCACAACATTGCATCTGTTGTGCTCGATGTTGCGGAGGTGATAGTTGTGATATGCGTCTTAAGACATTCTTGTTATGAAATGATAGAACAAGTACAAGGATATGATTTTCCACGCACGATCTGCGCCTTGAACGGAAGGGCTGAAGACGGCAGTATACTTCTTGAGAGTGAACTCAGTACCAGTCAAAGATGTCAATAAACGGCAACATGCAGTACGTCCTACTTTAAGCCAATTTTGTGGGTGTGTGAGAAGCTCCTGGATCCTTCATCGAGGCTGAGTCAGAGACGGCGCAGATAGCTTGACGATGTGTCGTTGAAGTTGAGGTTGAGAAGCACCTTAGGACCTGCCCAATTCGGCACTAGCCACTCTTCGGCATCTCATGTTCGTCATCACCGCCCGCGCCAGTGCGAGTCACGGAACCCCCCACCTTTACGTTAGTTTACAATACAAAATGTAGCACATCACCACGAGGTCTCAACGGCCTCCCTCGTATTCCATCAAACATACTCGAATTTTACAATGTCGACTCAAGCCAACGGACAGAAGCTCGCGCCGTCAATTGACGTGAAGAACCTGAGCTATGCGTTCCCAGACGGTTCGAGCGGGTTGAAAGACGTCTTTCTGAACCTGCCGCCCGGCAGCAGGACACTTCTGATTGGAGGTATACAATGCATACAAAAGCTCAATCTCGTTGTAGTTGCTAATAAGGTGCAGCCAATGGTGCTGGTAAGACGACTCTTCTGCGCCTGCTCTCCGGCAAGCGCATGGCTCCTGCCGATTCCGTTTCGATCGCAGGTGTCGACCCTTTCAAACAAGGCCTCGAGGGTGTCACCTACCTTGGCCTCGAGTGGGTTCTAAATCCCATTGTCCGCACCGACATCGATGTCGTCACCCTCCTCAACTCCGTTGGCGGCCAGTACTACTCCGAGCGCCGCGACGAGCTCGTGCAGGTGCTTGACATCGACCTCACATGGCGCATGCATGCCGTGTCTGATGGTGAGAGGAGGAGAGTACAACTGGCAATGGGTCTGCTTCGACCATGGACGATCCTTCTGCTGGACGAGATCACCGTCGATCTAGACTTGCTCTCGCGATCGAACTTCTTGGCTTTCCTGAAGAAGGAGACCAACGAGCGCCCCTGTACCATCGTATACGCAACACACATCCTGGACAATCTCGCAACCTGGCCAACCCACCTCGTACACATGTCGCTTGGCAAGGTCAAGAAGTGGGGCAGCGTGGACGACATGGGCGTGAAGAACGACCCCGACTCCAGAGTTTTGTCTGGCAACAGCGAACTTGGTGAGCTTGTGCTCAACTGGTTGCAAGAGGACCTTGACGAGAGAGGTCCCAGGAACGGCAGGAATGCTCCACGCTCCGAAGGCAAGACCTACCAGAACCTTGAGGGCAAGGGAGGGTACGGCGCAGAGAAGAAGGTTGAGAAAGAGTAGAGCAAAGACATAGACGGAAGACGTAGAGGCGGAGGCCTGCTTCAACAACGCAGACCGCTGGAATTCAACAGGCGTTCAGAGGCTTCTCAACGATGATACCCCATCTCGTATTTCAACATCAATACATTTTTGAATATTAATAGCAGTAAGATCTACATCGTACTTGGTTGCTTTTTTATCGCTGCTGCAAGGTTTACGCTGGACTGATGTACGGCTGATATCAACGCAGAAACGTCACCACACGCAAGGCTGCGATCAGTTCAGGACAGGAGCTCGTGGTGCTTTTCTTTCTTACTCGCGCAAGTACATCGCCCTCGATTTGTGTTTACCTACGCGAATCTTTTGGAACCAGATCTCAACGTATGTTCATTAACCAGAAGTCGCGCACTCGTTGCGAGCCGGGGGACCAACTCTTCATGTTTCAAAGCCACAATTTTTGGAAACAGGTATAAAAGTAAACTCAATACTTTGTGGTCCGCCGCAAACATTTCTCCAACCTGAGAGCAACGTGCCCTTCTCAACACAACTTCCAATATGTCGACCAAGCCAAGCCAAATACCGTTCCTCTGCCTCCTTATCAGCCTCGCACACGCACTATTCGCCGTATCCTTCTCTCTGATGATTGTGGCTTCTCGATCGGGAGAAGGGTCTAGAAAAGGCAGCACTCAAGAAGCCAGAAGTGGAACATGCTGCATGCGAGGAGGATGCGGCAGCTGAAGACGAGGCTGACTATCAGTGAGCAACCATGAAAAATCCTGTGTAGACGGGCGTGTAAGATTCCTACTCGCGAGTGAAAGCCCCTGGCAAATTTTTGACCATACCGTAGTCTCCAACACGATTGCAATCAAGTTGACTGCAAACATGTCAAGTAATACACTGCCTGCGGCTTTCTTCGAATTCATTCTGGACCTGATCGCTGCTCCTTGTCGTGGCTGCAACCATCTGCATGGTCATCGATCGCCGCTGCAATTCTAATAAGTACATTGTCGAGCAGATCAAAGGTTTGTATGCTTGACTACCTTCAGAGTTCCATATCGCATCGGATTCCTACTGACATATGGTTACAGAGAATGCAACAAAGCTCTATCCTGGCCACACTGCTTTCGTAGTGAAGACAAAACGCAACAACGAAGATATCGATGATAATCTTCGGAGCTGGTCTGTCGCTATCTTTGGCACGAAAGATGGGGTGCAAGAGCAGCTGAAGATCACAAATTGGTGGCCACAGAAAGCAGTACTGGTCCGCCTATAGGAGGAGATCAATAAGGCTGTGCGCAGCAAAGAAGCGGGGCAGATGGAGTATAAGTGGAGCGCTATGGAAGGTGTTGTGTAGCTGAGTACCTCCAAGGCTCACTTCCAGAGTGCTTCAAGCTGGCCATAGGGTCTACTTGACAGTTATTTTGTGAAGCCACGTCTCAAGCAATCAATGTTCTCTGGCGATTTGCTCTTTCTGTCTGGTCCGAGTACGTCACACCCAATTGCTCGCGTGGGCTCAGTTCTCCCAGTACCAAATCCCACTCGCACGAGCACACATAATATCCCATTTCTGCCAGTTCTAACGCTGTTTGCCCACACCTCTCACCAACTTTAGCACTACATATCCTCCAAAACACCTCAATAATGTTCACCGATCCGTCATTTCCAAAATTCCTCGGCTTCATCGGAGACGTTCTTTCCGCATTACTCCAGCTGTTCGCTCTCCTTCTCTTGGTAGTAGTGGTCGGCACACTCGCAGCAGCTGTCGGTAGGGGCATTATTGAGATTTATGTACGCATTTTCTACTCTGAAAGATTCGTCGTCGGCCGAATCACAAGTATGTATCCCTGACTAACTCCACATCATACCTGGCAGCTAATAAAATCACAGAGTTTGCGAAGAAACTCTACCATGAGCACACTGCTATCGCAGTCAAGACCAAGCGCAATATCAATGAGATGGACTACCACCAAGATCTGTAGGGCTGGTCCGCTGCTCTGTTTAGGACTAAAGGGGGTGTGGAAGAGCAGTTGTGAGTGTTGGAGAGGTGGTCGAAGGAAGAAGCACTTGGGCATCTGGAGCAAAGGCTCAAGCAGGCTGTGCAGAGGACAAATGAGGGAAAGGAGGGAAATGAGGAGGAAGCAGGGTATGAGTGGTAGATACAGAGAGCGCTGTGTAGTTGAGTATCTCCAGTGTGTGCTTTCGAAGTGGCTAGAGTTTGAGAGCTAGGAATGTGGTGTATTGAGCTGTGTAATCGACGTTGCACTTGAGTACCTCCTTGGCTCTGCTTGAGGTTCTGTAACAGCTTATTTTTAAGGGGGAAATGGCAATTCAATACACTACAATCCAGTTAAATTCCGCTAGACGCTGTGAACTACCGATGTTGTTTGCATCAGGCGATAGCGAACGAGAATGTAACGAAAATGTATCGACAATGAATCGTGGTTGCCTCTTCAGTCCCACAAGTACAAAACTTCATTCCTGAACAACTTATATTCTCACCTGTTCAATCTCAGGCCAACACAAAATCTCCACTCAAGTAAACAGAATCTCCAATCAACCTGTCGAAGATGCCGAACGACCAATATATAGGAGATTTCCTCATCGGTGTGCTCCTGGTGCCACCGTTGGCTCCAGCGGCATCTTTATTGGTGGTTTTTTAAATGTACAAACCCCCTGTAATTTGGGACCAATAAAAGCCCCAAATGCTGGCCACTGTAAAATACAATGGAAACTAGCAGGCTTAGCAGGTGAATGTTCACTCTCGTGTGACTGTACTAGGTAGTCCTACATGTCACCACCTACCCAGCCAAGCCCAATTGGAGAAGTTGGTGGGATGGATGAGGGACTTATACCTGTACTCAGTGAAGCTTTTCATGGTTGCATATTCGAAGATTCGCGTCCATGGCTTCTCAACCCATGCTATCGAGATCTACCGCAGGCCTTAATGCATTTTTACTCAAGTTTGAATAGGGCCATTTCCCCAAGCATCAAGAAGATTCTGATTGGTTTGCGATGACCTTTCTGCGATAGGATTGGGCCAATTCAAGAAGTTGGCTATAATGAAAGCCCTGCATTCAAGCTTTGCGGTGCGCAAGGAACGAAGTAGCAAAGCTTCTGATTGACGTGTCTGAAGATTGGGATTGTATACGTGATGATGCAGCCGAGTGTGACGGAGATGTAGATGAACGCGACGACCACGTATTACTTTTCGATGGTCTCGCGAGCTTTGACCCGAATATAGGTCTTGCATAGGGGTAGTACAAGAATGATTGCGTTGAAGATCGTTATTACTGCTACCATGGCGATGTTATCGTGCTCGTCTAAAGTGGAATCTAATTCCCAGAGCGTTCTCTTCCAGTAAGGATGGCGGATGGGAAAGAGAACAGGGGTAGAAAGTGCTTGTTGGAAAGAGCAAGAACACTGCACCAAAACACGTGGCACACATGACCTCCTTACTCCATAAACCGTCACATGTTGAGTATGAGACGAGAGTCAACCGTGAATCCGTGACTGCTGGCGCATAGAGTTAATGAAGTTTTTGTGGTTGGTGTTGAATGTTTTCTGGATGATGCCGTTGTGACTGAGTGGTGGCTGTTTCTTGTATCTCGCGAGGATCAGCCTCGTAGGCAGCTGCAGCTCAGCCGCATGCGCTAGCGGAGACAAGCGCAGCTGGTGAGATGCGACTGCGCCCGTGGTTCCAAGCCTCGTAGATCGCTGGATACCGCCAATCATCCAGATGCAGCAGAATGAGTCGCTGCTTTGAAAAGCGGATGACGCAGCGGATATTCAGTGTTGTGTGACTGCCAGCTACTCGTCTCGTTAGCACTCAGCCGGCACACCGAATTTGAGCAACAACTATCTCATTGTGGTATCTTAGCAACTACTACAGCGCTTCCAAAGCCGCTCAAGATGATTCAAATGTGTCCACCAACGCCAGTGTAAAGTCGCGTCTCTATGCAAGTAAAATTCATTTGTACAGTCGGTCGCACGGTCGGAGGCTACTTTTGGTCCAGCATGTGTTTGAACTTTTCGATCTGTATCTATATTAGCTCTGGTCCAAGATGATGAGGGCAAAAAACTCACCTTTGTGCTTAGGTACTTCTCAACCTCCTCGCTCTTGATGCCCTGCTTTCCACCGGTCTTCCACGCAAGTGGCACCATTGCCACCCTTTCCCTGACTACAACTTCCCTACCAGGTCCCTCGACTGCCCGCACCTTATCAGGGTTGTTTGTAAGCAACCTAATGCCCCTTTCTCCTCCCAAGCCCAGATCCATGAGCATAGCCGTGGCCAACCCATAACTTCTCGCATCCGCCGGATGTCTGAGCAGAACGTTTGCTTCGTATGTGTCATTGCCCAGATCCTGCAGGTTGTACGCTTTCAGCTTCTCTCCCAGCCCGATACCGCGCCCTTCTTGCCGCAAGTAGATGATTGCACCGCCGGAGGGAGAAAGTGTTGGGTCAGCCATCAGGCGGGCGCCTTCGTCCAGCTGCTCACCGCAGTCGCAGCGCGCGGACCAGACGGTTTCGCCGGTGTAGCACTCGGAGTGTATGCGGACGAGAGGGAGATCCGAAGTTGGGGTTTGCACGTCGCCGTTCTCCGAGGAGGCGGACGAGGGCGAGATCAGGCCGTTGTCCAGGTCGGTGACTGTGTCGGCGTTTGGCTTTCGTTTCGAGGGCACACCTTCGGAGCGCTTGATTGCTTCTATCCGCGAACTCGTCCGTCCGGGAAACAGTCGCCCTACGTATGCGCCTCTAGTCATGCGATCGAGCTCTGTTTCCCCGGGTCTTTCTGCATCTAATGATCGCGAGCGGATCTGGTTGCCGAATACAATCGCCAGATGTTCCTTGGTGTCTACATTGTTGCGGTATACATGCAGCCACATCTCATGCCCGGTCGTGGTGGGTATGCGCGCTCGTACTTCGCATTCAACTACCGGCAGCTTTTCAAGCAGCTCGGGTCGCGGCGAATCCGTGGACAAGGAGGTATCCACCGGTACGGAGCGGGGTGGCCGGCGGGGCTGTGACGGCGTGTTGAAGCCGGGTGTCGCTGGAGGCGTGAATGCGGGAGAGATGATGGAGGGCGGTGGGTCGGACCCGCGGTGCTGCGATGATCTTGGCCCGAGGTGGCGTGTTGTGTCCTCCCCTACGGCACTCTCTGAGGCGTGAAAGTCGAACTCATTCCGACTCGGACTCTGCGGCTGCGGTGTGTATAGCGGCGGTAGACCTGGTGACGTATGTGACGGTAGTTCGGGCATGCTGGAAAAAGACATATCCAGTCAATTGGACGCGGCGCGAAAGGCGAGAGTGTACAGGCAGTATCAGAAACGTGTAGTAGTGATGTCTGATGTTGTGACGAGAGCCGAGGGGTTTAGCGATTCATGTCATAATTCCGAAGCCGAAGCCGCTTCAGGGTTCATTTGGAAGCGTGCGGAAGACCGCCGACATTTGGCCGCCGGAGGGGATATGTACTTTGGTAATCAACATTGTAAGCAACACCAAGCAGACAGTGGATGGGATTGGAGGCGAGAAAAGACTGTGTTCGTTTTGCTACCATTTTGTTGCGACACGCAGACGCTCCTCTCGAGTATGTGTCACCCACGTCATCCCACTTCTCTGGTTGAGCGTCAATCGACCCTGCGCTCCCTGTCCCAGACCTCGTCGGCGTTCTTCTTGCCCTTGGTCTCTGGTACATACCACGACAGGAAAGCAAAGAAGAATGCAGAAAGTGCTGCAAAGATCAGATAGACCTTTCCACCCAGCTGCGCGCTCAGCAATGGGAAGAACTGCGCAACAATGAAAGTTGCAATCCAGTTCGCTCCCAGTGCGATACTTTGAGTCGCGTCCACAGCTTCCGGGCCTACAAGCTCGCTGGCTAGGATGAAGGGAACTGGCCCGAGTCCAAGTGCGAAGCTCGAGACGAAGAAAAGCACAGCCAGGGCTGACAGCACGGGCACCGACTTCATGATGCCAATAGCAAGAAAAAGGGAGCTGATGCCCATGCCAGCAATGGAGCCAAGCAGACATGGCTTGCGGCCAAACTTATCCGGGAGAGGTGCACCTCCAGCCGTGATGACGATGTTGACCGCAGACACGGCAAGGTTCAGCAGCGCAGAGTTGGACTCCAGTAGCCCTGCCAGCAGCGACACACCGTACATGACGATGCTGTTGATACCGCTGAACTGCTGAGCCAACATGACCATGATAACAGCAATGGCAGCCTTCTTGTAGTCTGGGTGACGGAAGACCTGCATGATGCTCAATGAGCCTTCTTTGCCGGACGACTTTGCCGCTGCCTGCGTTGAGCCCCCCTCGTTGCTGAGCAGGGTCTGCTCCTCCTCTGTTGTGGTGTTAGCACTGATGAAACGCGACGCACATGGACGAGAGTACTTGCCGCTCCCGTTGGATCCGTCCACTCCCCAGTCGCTCATCTCACTGTCAATATCGGCGTCTGCGCCCCTGATCTTGCGCAAGGTCCTTTTGGCCTGAGTGAGATTGCCCTTCTCAGCAAGGTATTTGGGGCTCTCCGCCGACAGCAGCAGACCCAGGCCTTGCGCAAGACCAATCATGCCACCAACAGCCAAGATGACCCTCCAGTATGAGTCGTGGCTGAGAAAGTAACCCAAAAGTTGCGCGACCAGAACACCAACATTGCACATGATCTGCGTGAAGGCGCCAAAGAAGCCCTTGTTGGCAGGCGGTGCAATCTCTGAGATATACAGAGGCACGATGACCACCGCTGCTCCTGCGCCAACTCCAGACACGAGTCTTCCGAAGGCCATAACGGCGATGCTGGGCGACAGCGCTTCGAAGACGGGGCCGATTGTGAAGAACAGAGTCATAATCTGCATAGCTCTGAGCCGACCGTATTTGCCGGCTAGAGGTGCTGCGGACAGTGCGCCTATCAGTCCGCCGAGTGTGTACATGGAGCCTACGACGCCCCATTGGGTCGGCGTCATCTCAATGCATCGTGGCAGGTTCGGCGTAGCAGTCGCGGTGAGGTCGGTGGAGGTGATCGACCTCTTCTTGCAGCGGATAACATCTTCGGGCGCGTTGAGTTCAGACTGGTGTCGTTAGTGGTGCTGTGTTGAGCTGTGGGTGTTGCATACCAGATGAAAGCCGAACAGCAGCGGGCCCAGGGTCGCAACGAAGAGCATGTACACGAAGTACCCTGTCAGGTCACCGAACCATGAACGCGGGTTCATGGTGTCTGCACAGGGGCTGTAATGAGAAGCTCAAGGGTTGCTGAAGATTTCTACGCGTCTGGACGGCTATACTTAGCTATCAGCTTGGATCGCACAGCTACGCCATCGTGACAATACACGAGGGATGAGGTGCATATACCTGTTTGGTAGGTCGCGGAGTGCCCTTTTGACACGCGAAAGATGAGCTACACTACAACCTCAAACAGGAACGGAGCCCGTTGAACCATCAAAGGCGCTACCTTGTTGTATGGGACAGGCGGAGGCAGCGTGTGATGGTGGTTGGTCATGGGACGAGCTTGGGCGACAAGCGTTCACATGTTGCGGCTCTGTGGGGAGACCATCCAGCTGTTTCAACGAACCTAGATGGCTGCACAGCTTCACTCCTTGAATTGCGCCATGCTTCTTACATAGAACTTCACGTTGTATCTTGAAAAGCATCACCACCTCAAGATCGACCCAAGTAGCCGTCAAGCTTCCCGCGTCTGCAGTTCGGCGTCCTGCCCAGCCCCAAGAGACACTCCACGGCTCCACGCCCCTTGTGTTCCGTCCACGGGACAGTGTCCGCCAAACGCCGCATGCGCGTATGCGCCAGCTGCCGACGTCGAGACAACTAAATTAGACGCAGATGATGCCGAAAAGATGAGCCAGCCGCAGTCGAATCCCCCAACTTCGGGTGGCCCACCTTCTGCTGCGCCAACCGCCCGAGCCGCCCTATGCAGTAACGTTGCGAGAGCCTTCAACGGTCGGTAACCCTTCTGCTACCGCGTCTGGGTGTCACTTTCGCTCTTTGTCGTGTCGTTCATTTCACTTTCCATCTCCTTGTTATTTCTACTTGGTCAGTCTCGTCTAGCGCTTGCTCTTGCTGGTCGTGACTGCCGCGTGGTTCGCTTATTGTTGTTCCGCCAGCCTCGCTGCTGTCAACATCACATCATCTCAACTCATCTTACACCTTTAATATTGGCATCAGCTGTCACCAATCTGAATTGCATTCATCAGCATATTGGAAGGAGTGCTGAAACAGCATCTGAGCAGACACCGGAGACTCCACACCAATGTTCGCAGGATACAGCTCGAAGAAGCGAATCAACGAACGGTACAAGATCGTAGGCTTCATCAGTAGCGGCACCTATGGACGCGTCTACAAAGCAGAAGGCAAGAATGGCCGCATCGGAGAATTTGCCATCAAGAAGTAAGAACCAACAGACCTGTAAGTTGGCGTTGCTGACAGCACAGGTTCAAACCGGACAAGGAAGGCGAACTCCAGTACTCCGGCATCTCACAGTCCGCCATAAGGGAAATGGCCCTTTGCACCGAGTTAGCGCATCCAAATGTTGTTCACACGTCTGAGATCATACTGGAAGACAAGTGCATCTTCATCGTCTTCGAGTATGCAGAACACGACCTACTACAGATCATCCACCACCACAACCAGCCTCAACGCCAAGCCATACCTGCACGAACTATCAGATCGATCTTGTATCAGCTTTTGCAGGGTCTTGTCTATCTCCACCGCAACTGGGTCATGCATCGGGATCTGAAGCCTGCCAACATCATGGTGACAAGAGAGGGCAAAGTCAAGATTGGCGATTTGGGTCTAGCTCGTCTCTTCCACAAGCCGCTCCAGTCATTGTTCTCCGGCGATAAGGTCGTCGTCACAATCTGGTACCGGGCACCAGAGTTGCTGCTGGGCAGCCGTCACTACACGCCGGCGGTCGATCTTTGGGCAGTGGGTTGCATCTTCGCCGAGCTGCTGTCGCTGCGACCTATTTTCAAGGGGGAGGAGGCGAAGATGGACAACAAGAAGACCGTACCCTTTCAGCGCAATCAGATGCAAAAGATCGTCGAGATCATGGGCTTACCAAGCAAAGACCGCTGGCCATTATTGAACTCCATGCCCGAGTATCCTCAGCTTGCTTCGCTCATCGCTGGTAACGCAGCACGTTATCCTCGTCCACAGAGTGACGGCTTGGAACGATGGTACCACCAAACCTTGAACAACAATCGTTACCCTGTTGGTACTGGACCGGACACGCCTGGCCAGGAAGGACTATCGTTGCTCAAGCAGCTACTCGAGTATGACCCACTCAAGCGCCTGACAGCTGAGAAAGCGCTCGAGCACCCGTACTTTACCGTACACGGCAGGCCGTCAGAGAGCTGCTTCGAAGACTCCAAAATCAAATACCCTGTTCGGAGAGTCAGTCAAGAGGACAATGACATTCGTACGTCTAGTTTGCCAGGGACAAAACGGAGTGGGCTACCAGATGACTCTCTCATTGGTCGGCCTGCAAAACGCCTTAAGGAAGGCTGAACACAAGCACTGCAACTACAGAGCTGCTTGTTGCAGATCTGATCCGGTTCTACGATATTATACAGACGACCGCGCGTGCTCTCACGAACCACTATCATTCCCTGCACTCCGTGCGGCATGACTCGTCGAAGCCTGGCTCATGGTAACAGAAAAGCTCACGGCCTGGTACGGGAAGTAGATCAGGCAACACGACAGTTGCACAGGGTGCAAACGTCACACAGCGGGGTCTGAGGGGCAGTCTTGTCATCTCCAACGCTCATCACACAAATTGACCTAAGCCCTCAGACGAGGTCGACAACGTGTAACGCGAAGCTGTGTGGCACAAGGGCGACACCTGAAGTTGCTGACAGACGCCAAATACCCACTTGGAGTGTAGGAGTAGATTTTGACCGTCTAAGTATATCTTGTACGTGGATGGCTCGTTCCTTCGCGTCAATCGTGAGCGGCAACAAGCACTCTACTTCGTACAGAGCTTCTCTCTCGGCAGCATTGCGTCAAAACTTAGGGCTTCAGAACATCAATTCTCCTCTATCGCTTGTCAGCTCGTTCTTTCAATGTATCACCATTGTTGTTTTGCTGTGAAGTCACGCTGATATTCTTTTTCAACGTTCGTTAGATCTGTCCTTGCCCTCTGATCTCTTTTTGTAGCTTTGCGGTTCAGCACGCCAATCATATGCTCTCTTGCGCACGGCTTTACATGTTCTAGAGTGCTATCCATACCTTTCACAACGTTGACCGGCATAGGTGACGCCCGTTTGCAGGCGCCTACAATAGGCGCTACGTGACACTCCGCTTGTGTCTCTTAGCAGAAAGTGGTAAAGCAACAAACGAGCTATTCATCATCAGGCACGAAATTGCCGCGACACAAGTCGGGTAATCCAGTGGGCTTATTCGATGCTTCAGTACTCTCGAATTCATGGACATTGCGTCTCGCTTCACTGCAGTCGTCTCTTGATCATATTGCGGACTGTCTGTGGGTTATGTCGCTCTTGCCCTGCTCCACACCGCGTGGTCTGATTTCGTGAGCTAGCGCACAAGGTCATGGCAGGTAAGTGAAGGCAGTAGGTGCGCCTCGACCACACGTTGCTGTCAATATTATCTCGGTGCATGGGCCACTTGTCATATAAACACGCCGCCATCCTGCCTTTACCCCTTCTCCATCTTCGATCATTCACGCTCTTTACAACTGCCGCTCTTTTGACTTTACCTGAGTGCACAACATTCTCGACCAACTGCACCAGCTTACCTACGACCTACATTTTTCTGAGAGACCCCTATCCATACACCTTGGTCGTTCCTTCCAGTGAACGACATCAACAAACATGAAGCCTTTCGCTACACTTGCCACCCTTCTGGCTGCCACTGCAGTCGCCGCGCCCGCTCACGATGTCAAGCCCCGCGAACTCTTCAACGATGATGCTCCTCACCCAGACGATCCCAACTTCATTAGTGCTGTGATGCGGGCTCACTGGTTCTGGCGCCGCCTCCACTGTGCTCAAGATCTGGTCTGGGACCAAGGTCTTGCTGACGCTGCTCGCCGCGACATCTCCGAGTGCACATACATGCCCGAGCACGTAAGTCATGCAGCATTTTAAGGCCTTGTGTAGCCTAATTGACTTTTACAGATGCGCTCTGGCAGCAACCTCTCCTCCCAGAAGCCCGCCCCTAGCAAGTACGAAGATTGGATCGAGTTCGCCCGCACTGCTGCTCACGGCTGGCACGAAGAAGAAACGAAGTACCCGTACGACCACCCCCACTATGACGATGCTTGGGGCCACTTCACGCAGATGGTGTGGCGCAACACTTCGCGCATCGGCTGTGCTGTCGGAAACTGCAACCCGGGCCAGGTTGACTGGCCTGGACGCCTCTACTGCTGCAAGTAATTTCAAATTAAGCTATGGATAGATACTGACTTTGCCAGATTACGACTACGTCGGCAATAATATTGCAGCCGGCCAGTTTGAGGCGCAGGTCTGGGGCCCTGTCTGCGGTGACCCTTCTGTCGGCGAGGCTACCAAGCGTGCAGAGACCGGCTACGACTGGTCTCGCAAGTAAATCTTGCGCGCTGGAGTCTCGTGGTCGCTCGTCTAGACTGCCTATGGGAACTACTGTCCTACGAAGACTACAGTATTACCTCTTCACATCTCGATTCACGACGACTCTCTAGCGGCATGGTTGCCCCGGCTGGTATCGGCGTTGACGGCGTACATATGTTTCATTCTTTCATTGTTCATACTGGGCTATGGCCACTGCATCTCTGACCATCTGGGTTGGTCATTTGGTCGCACTATCTGCATATCCTTCGTTGGCACCGACGAATGACTATGGCACTAGCTTGATGACATCAGATACACGAGAAGTAGTTCAGCCTGATAGAGGCATATCCAGAATTCTATGCATTACTTCCAAACCAAGCCTTGCCATTTTGTGCCACTCTTCTACTTGCTCCTATGTTTCTGACTTGCACTTGGACATGAGGTGCCATAACAAATTGTACAGTCGCCTGTGGTCTAGCAAAAAAATCATCTTGTCGGTGGAGGGGCTGCCAAGGTTGGTGTAATGCAAGCTGTCAGCGGCACAGCTTCGAAGATGACTGCGTCTGTAGGATCGTTTGCTTAAACTCATAGCGCAGCCTGCTGCACGATCTGGACTTTGCCACCTCTTCATATACAACATTTTGGCGTAATGGGCCATGTTTTACATCTCGACCTTCCCCTTGGACCTGCCAATTTGCTTGGGATATCTGCTGCCAGTGGGTTAAATGGGCCTGGCGCTTGGGCGTTTTGGATCATGACTGTCTTCCTCTCGTGGACCCATATCGGTATCTCTACCTACTTGAGCGACTTCTATGTGTCCAGCTTACTTTACACAAATTGGACAGCGGCTGACTTGCTCTATCAGTTACCCTGTCTTGATACACCATTCGCACACGGAGTATCCTTGCGGGGCTCTGTCGCTGCATCTTTCACCATCACTTATTGGGGCTTCTATCACGCGTCATTGCAGCTTCTCGTCTGCTTCGTGTATGGCAGGCGTTCAACACTTCCTCCAGCGCACGGCCAGCCAGGCGGCGACGAACTTTGATCTTGCTCCTTGGCTTATTAATTCCTTCACTTACGGCCTGGGTGTTATCACGACAACTATCGGATCCCCGTCATTCGGACACCCTTTCGACCACCGAGGTGTTCCCTGCGTTTGATCACGATAAGATCAAAGCGAACGTGCACTACCAAGCTTTGCATACCACTTCGACCTTCATGCTGATACAAAGCCTCTTCGTCTGCGTCTGTCTGTGTTATTCTGTCTGGCGAGCTTTCGCTAAAGAAGACGGGAAAGGCGAAGAACGGTTCCGCTACATATTCACAGGCCTCTGCCTGATCTGTTACCCACCTATATGGCTTGTACAAGCCTTCTCCGCTTTAGTGTTACATCTGGGAGGTCCTTACTACGACTGGTAAGATCATCAACCGAAGTTGTTACTTCATGCCTTGCACACCTTAAAGCATCAGAGATTCGGACCAAGCGTTCGCACTATTTGCAGCGCCGGCTACGGTACTGTACGATGTCCGTCCAAAGCCTGTTAGTCTTTACGTCTACTCGAAGGAGAGGTGGGCCGCTCGCAACAGGCAATGTCATCATACCATTAGAGCTGTTCCGGCGGCCACAGGGCCTGAATGAAACGAGCTCAATCCGATTCTCGATCCCACATTGCATACAACAAACGACTTGTTCGCATACTATCCAGAAGGGCACAACAGAGTTAAGAGCAGTCCATCGATGATTACCTTACTCGCAATCGACAACCGACCTGTTCGAGGATTACACAGAAAGACGAGGGCGGTAGTGTGTGGAAGCCATCGCAGATGTAAACTCATCAAATCTCTCGAGCGTTCTCTTTGATCGATGGACACTCTTTACGAAGCCTCCTTGACAACCTGCTTCAGCGTCTTAACATACTCCCCCACCTCCTTCGTCCCAATAAGCGTGAAGTCCCTCTTTCGCCCCTCAAAAACAATATGCGGCACACTATCCACCCCGTTCCCCGTCTGCTCCCGAACCGCCATCCTCGTCTCCATCGCCTCCTCGCTCTCATCCTCGACCACGCTTTTCCCCCTCCTGCTCGCTCAACCCGGCCGCTTGGCACGCCTTCAGCAACGTCTCGGGGCTGCTCGGATGCGCTTTCTGCGTAAAGTATTGCTCGTACAGACTCTCGAGCGCTTTGATCGCTGCCTCGGGGCCGTGGTGTTTTTGGATGTACTGCAGTATGCGATGCGCGTGGAACGTGTTTGCTTGCGAAGGGTCCGCTGGAGAAGTCGAAAGCTATGCCTTCAGGCGCCCATGTAGGCTGAGTACTTTTGGAACCGGTCTTCAGAGCCGGCGTACTTTTCGTCACGGTACCAGGCGTGCCGGTCGACGCCGTCGCGGGAGAAATCCGGGTATAGTTGGTATGGGGCAATTTGGAGTTTGAAGGTGACTGGTGAGGATGGGTTGGCGGAGCGGTAGGAATCGAGAGCTTTGCGGAGCTGGAGGAAACCGAGATACGTCCTGGATGATGTTAGCGGAATTGGGGAGACGTAAAAACTAGGGGACGAGATTTCGTCTAGGGAGAGAAGGTTGTGACATTTACCAAGGACATACTGTGTCGAGAGTGAATGTTATTGTGGAGTCGTAACTCATTGTAAATGGTTCGAGTGGCGTTTGTCGATGCTGTGATGGTTCAGGATTCCTGGACGTTTGTGAGGCAGCAACAGCAAGGTTACATAAGTGAATGATCCTGTAAAGACAATAGGGTAGAATTAAAATCGCGATACACCGCCAAACTGGTGGAGACCACACAACTCGGATGAGCTCATGCGGGGATGTTCCGTATGATCTACGGCTAGGATGGAGATGGACCGAGGTGTGGCTGAAGCTGGAGAAGGCGGCGTACGACAATATAAAAACTGCGCGAGAATAGGTTAAGAAGTATTAATATTTAGTCTGAAGTGTAAGCAATGCAGTGTCTAGTAGAATGAACATGCAGACCTCGAAGGGCCCGTCTAGTCAATAGCAACCAACAGTAACAACAGGTATCTTCATCTGGACATCATCGAGTCCCGCCGGTTGAACACCTAGTTCAACTTCACATAGTTGCCTGAGATAGTCAGCGTTTGTGGGCATTCTTGAGTCTTAGTGTACATACCTGGGAACTGGCCCTGCTTGCCGCGGACCTTGCCAGTCCACCACTCGTTCTCGTTCTGCGTCCGTGTAATGATCTCAATGGTGTCGCCGGTCAAGAAGCTTAGATCGCCTTCTGATTGAGCCTCGAAGTCAAAAAGAGCGGTACATGTCTCTGCCGCAGGCATGCCACTGAGGCGAGATGGCTTGGGCTTTGGTGGCGGAGGTGCCGCGCCCTTTGCCTTCGCTGCAGAGCCCCATGAGCCTTGTGATAATGTAGGCGATTTGACGTCTGCGACCACGCCAGAGGGGCCAGGGCTGTATGGAGGTGGTGGTGCTTCTTCGGAGATCGAAGCGCGGCCTGCCTTCGCCTCGAGGGCTTTTGTTGCGTACTTGGACTGCCCGGGTCGCCCTCCTGGGCCTGTACGTCCACCCGTGGTCTTGAATTTGACCACAGATAGCTTCTCAGCCTCTGCCTGGGTGTCTCCACGCTTCTTCTCGTAGGCCGCCTCAATATCCAGTTCCAGGTCGAAATAACCAATGTCAAGCCGTTGCATGCGCTCGTGCAGGGTGTAGAAGACGTTCAGCTGCATGTAATAGAACGACTGGAAGAGGGGCTGGATGAATTCCCGTTCCAACGCGAACAGCTTCGGCAGCTCGTCCTTGAGGAGATCGTTGAAGTAGTTGTAATCCTGCGTGGCCTGCTCAACATCGTTCTCGGCGCGGTACATGGCCTTCTCGTCCTTCAGGGTCTTGTCCTTCTTGTCTTGCAGCTTCTTGAGGGTTGTTCGGTGACGGTCGTAATCGAGCTGCTTGTGGTCGCGCTTGGCGCCTATCTTCCGTACAGCTTTGATGATGTCGAGCAGCTGGTTCGCGGGCGAAATGACTCGCGACTCTATCATCTCCAGCTCGGGCTTGAGCGTCTCTTGCAGTTCTCTTACAACCTCCTCGTATTGTTCGCAGGCCTCAATACCGGCAGTGTTTCCTTCATCGTGGAACGAGGTGGGGTCCGACATTCGTCCGGAGATGGGCTTGTAGATTTCGGCGATGGCTTTCGAGAACTCGATCTGATGTGTGAGCATGCCTGTGAGGTTTGTATTAGACGTGATCCCACGAATGAGGCTTCAGAGATGCGCACCATTGATAGCCTCGAAGTACCTGCCATATATGTCAGTCCGGGTTACAACAAGCACTACTCGACAGACGCGCATACTTCTTGGACTCCTCGTGGAGCTTCTTCGTCTCCTTCTCGAGCTCGGTAAAGCGGCGATCGGCATCGATATAGATGGCGTCCTTTGTGATCTCGCCCTACACATGCTCTTGTTAGCGCATGCCTGCGCGTTCGCGGAAGTCGGCGCATTGCCCAAGCTGCTCTTGTATAGCGCTCACGGGGTGGACGTACGATATTGAATTTCTGCTTAAACGTTTGTGGCGCCTATTGAGTCTTATCAGCCATATGTTGCCGCCCAACCGGGCGCGTGAAGATGTTTGACCGTACCCTGGTCACTCCTTTCGTTAAGCCTTTCCAGCTCATTGTGGGGTAATGCGGGTGGGTTTGCTAGGTTCCGATGCAGAGTAACGCTGTCTTAACACAGCGGGGACGTGTAGTCGCAAGGAAGAGCAGCGTGGAGAGAAGAGTGGATGGTTATGGCGCAGTGCTCCTAGTGGGTGGATAGTGGGTTGCTTTTGGCGTCTTGGACATGACGTTGCTGTGGCTTAGCGCTGCTCCGATGTGGCAGACTACACGCGATACAGCACTGCGGGTTCTTCTTTGTGCGCTCTGAGCAGCAGTCACCTGACCCGGAACAGCATTGCAGTATTCACCATGGCGTTTGGACGCTCTCAGTGCACTGTTCTGCGCGAGCACTGCTTCCTCGGCCTGGTCCGATCGATTCGTGAATCAGGGTCTGCCTCTCGCAGTCGGTGGGGCGGTCCATTAGTAAGCCGAACTTTTAGCTCTCCGGCTGCGCTTTCGAAGCTTCGACTGAGTCGTGAGCGATGTTCGACATTATCACCGCACATACCCATCACCACAATGTCGAACATCGCCCCCACGCTTGCGAGGCAGGCCCTCCGCATCGCCTCGAGGAGATGCCCAGCATCGACCTTCGCCCGCACATCCCTCCGCACCGCTGCGAGCCGCCGCAACTATGTCTCCGAGACCAAGTCCAACAACGCCACAGTCAATATCGACACCACAGTCCAGGCAGAGAAGAAGGCATTCCTGCACCAGACCGGCGAGAAGGCAGCAGACGCGACAATGCCAACAACAGGCATGTCGGCCGACGCCATGATGAGCCCAAGTGCTGGTGCGTGCCGCCACTCGCCCCGCCGTCACTGAAGCATACTGATAGCACCAGGTATCTTGAAGCAAGCTACAGTCATGGACCAGGGATCACGCCCCATCTACCTGGATATGCAAGCGACCACGCCCATGGACCCGCGCGTTGTTGACGCCCAGCTTCCGTTCATGACCGGCCTCTACGGCAACCCGCACTCCCGCACACACGCCTACGGATGGGAGACCGACAGGGCAGTGGAAGACGCTCGCGCGCACATTGCCAACCTCATCGGCGCAGACCCCAAGGAGATCATCTTCACCAGCGGCGCCACCGAGAGTAACAACATGAGCATCAAGGGTGTGGCGCGCTTCTTCAAGCGCTCTGGCAAGAAGAACCACATCATCACCGCACAGACCGAGCACAAGTGTGTGCTAGACAGCTGCAGGCATTTGCAGGATGAGGGCTTCTCGGTCACCTATCTCCCAGTGCAGAGCAACGGTCTCATCGACTTGGCACAGCTGGAGGCTGCGATGCGCCCTGAGACAATGCTCGTCAGTATCATGACAGTCAACAACGAAATTGGTGTCGTGCAGCCCATGGAGGAGATTGGCAGGCTGTGCAGGTCCAAGAAGATCTTCTTCCACACAGACGCCGCTCAGGCGGTCGGCAAGATTCCCATTGATGTCAACAAGATGAACGTTGACTTGTTGTCGATTTCTGGTCACAAAATCTACGGGCCGAAGGGTGTCGGTGCTTGCTACGTACGAAGAAGGCCCAGGGTCAGACTCGATCCCATCATCAGTGGAGGTGGCCAAGAGCGCGGTCTGCGAAGTGGTACACTGGCACCGCCTCTTTCAATTGGCTTCGGTGAAGCCGCCCGTATCTGCAAGGAGGAGATGGAGGTATGCACGCATTTTCTACACCCTCTCTGCACCTTCACTAACGGGTAACAGTACGACACCAAGCGCATCACAGCCCTGTCAAACCGCCTTCTCGAAGGCCTTCTCTCCATGGAACACACCACACTCAACGGCGACCGCGAACGCCACTACCCCGGCTGCGTAAACGTCTCTTTCGCCTACGTTGAGGGAGAGTCTCTGCTCATGGCCTTGAAGGATATTGCCCTGTCCTCCGGCAGTGCGTGTACATCGGCCTCTCTGGAGCCCAGTTACGTCCTCCGCGCGCTCGGCAGCAGCGATGAGAGTGCCCACAGCAGTATTCGATTCGGTATCGGACGATTCACGACAGACGCTGAGATTGATTACGTCCTGAAGGCTGTGAAGGAGCGTGTCACGTTCCTGCGCGAGCTCAGCCCGCTGTGGGAGTTGGTGCAGGAGGGTGTCGATCTCAACACGATCGAGTGGAGTCAACACTGAGCGATAGTTTGAGGATACCCGGAGGTTTCTTGTACAATATAGGGGCGCATTGGGTTTATACGATAGGCTTGAAGCACACGTTCTTTGAGGCGTAATGAACGAAGAGTTACTGAACAACCCGGATGAACGAAGAGTTACTGAACAACCTGGCTGAACGAAGAGTTACTGAACAACCTGGATGAACGATGAGTTACTGAACAATCTGGTTTGTACTCACATTGCCATTCAGCATGCCGTGAGCGTCTTCTTGATGATTTTCCACGTTTGTGATTGCTCAACGGTTCACTGGCAGCGGTTTCCAGGTCTCGTTCATATTTGGTACGATCACGCCGCGTCTACCCCTCAGCGTACCGTACACCGACCCCATGATTTTAACGTACATATCAACTTGGCCACGACAAGGTGCAGTGTCCAGCACTCGTAAGGGAAGCGGCGACCCTTGGCGGGATCACAACATCGTGTTCGGCGGAGCTCCAGGCTTCCCCGCCAGACCTCGAATGCAGCATGGCCGGCGTGCCTGAGACGACGCTCAACTGGCTGTACAGCGTTCTTACCAGCGTAGGCATTCACTTATATTCCGCGGAGCCACATACTGACGTTTCCCCCAGAACTACACAGACGTCAATCGCACATACCACGACGCCACAGAAGCTCTCTCCCACTACCCGTCCCTCTCGGTGCGCACCGACGTCTACAGTACGTAACTCGCCGCGCAACACCGCCCTGTGCTTCGCCCTGGAAGCGCACAGCAGCTGACCAGTGCAGCATATGAGAATGGAGCTTCGAACCTTCTTCTCAACCTCAGCGGGACGCTGCCTGTTACGTTCCGCGGCGCAACGTACGGCTTCCCGGTAGCAGTATGGGTACCCTATGCCTACCCGCGCGAACCGCCCATGGTGTACATCAAGCCGGACAAAGACATGCTTGTGCGACCAGGTCAGCATGTAAGCGGCGACGGAAGGGTATATCACCCATACCTCGCACAATGGGCAAAGTATTGGGGCGTGAGTACCCTATGCGCGGTGCACAGCAATAGCAGGCACTGTTGGGCGGCATGATCCTTGGCTGACCTGCTTGCAGAAGTCTACTTTGTTCGACTTCCTTGCGGTCCTTCGCGGCGTCTTTGCGAAAGAACCTCCCGTCCGGTCAAGGCAACCGCAACCGCAGTACAATGCGCCCGCGCAACAGGGTCCTCCGCCTGTTCCTCCACCTGTCCCTCCACCACCTGCTGAATACCGGCGCTCTCTGCACGGTACACCAGGCCCATCAGCCTCGCCGGGCCCCTCTCAAGGACCACCTGCTCCTCCTCCGAAACCTCCGAAGCCGTACGAGCAGAACCGGCCGACGCCTGAACCGCAAAATGATCGGTACTCGCAACCTCCCCCGCTTCCACCGCATACGCCGCAACAACAAGCACAGGCACAGCAGTATCAACAGCCGCAAAGGAACAGTTATGGTGCACCGCCGAACTGGCAACAGCAAGGCACCCCGTGGGCGCAAGGCACTCCTCAGCGACAGGGAAGCTACGATATAAGTCCGGCAACACCAGTCTCGCACAGCTCACGGCCACAGGTACAGGTACAAGGCTCACAATACGGGCCTTATGGACGTGGGAGTCCTGTCAGTCCCATCACACCCCAAGGCCAGCGACAAGCATCGGGCTTTGCAAGGCAAGCGCCTCCACAGCAATCATCGGCGAACGGTGCGCCAGCGCAGCAGTATCCCAACCACCACGGTGCACCTCAACCTTACGGGCAACCACCGCCTCAACAGCAGCAGTATCGGCCACCGCTTCAGCAGTGCCCGCCGCAGCACCCACAGCATCGTCAGCAGTATCAACAGCCGCCACCCCAACAACCTCTGCCACTACCCAAGGCAGCACCTCCAGTCAATCTTCTGGATGACTCGCTCGAGGTAACTTTACCGTCGCAACAGGCCAATCAAGCATCATTGCCAGTACCTCCTGTACCCCCAAACCCGCAGAAGGATGCCCTCCTCACGGCCCTCAGCCAGGCTCTCGTTTCGCAGACTCGCCAAGTAGTAGCCTCGAATCAGGCAGCGGTAGCGCCTCTCCGAGCACAGCAGCATGCACTGCAGGCTGCATATTCACGGCTGCAAGCGGAGCTGGGCGAGTTGCAGCAGCTGGATGCTGCACTGGCTTCCAATGAGCAGATCCTGAAAGGTGCAATGGTCGAAGCAGACCGCGCCATGGACGATGCACGGAGGAGACAGGCCCCAGACGTCGATGACGTGCTCGTAGCGCCTACAGTGGTGGGGCAACAGTTATACACACTGGCGGCCGAGGAACAAGGAATTGCTGATGCTTTGTTTGTCTTGGGCAGAGCGCTCGACAAGGGCAGGATTACCGCAGATTTGTTCGTCAAGGTACGTAGTTTTGGTGCAGAGATGGTCACCATATGCTAAGGACACCACAGCAAACACGGAGTCTGGCTCGAGAGCAGTTTCTGAAGAAGGTGTTGATCAAGAAGATTGCCAAGGGCATGGCGCTGGATGAATACCAGATGCGGTGAGATCCGTAACAAGACTCACCCACCTGCTCCTCATCCAAGCAACCGCACATGTATGACAGAGCACTGACTGTGCTTGCAGCGAACTTGCCACAATGGTACCAGGCATCCGTATCTCTGGACCTGATATGAAGTCTGCTTCGTCCAGCACCAGAGCGATTCATGAGCTGTCCGATCAGTCATCGATCGAAACGGGCTCAATCATCTCTACACGAGGAATGCAAATTCGTTCGGATGCAACCAGACTTGCGGACAATTGAAGCTTACAGGTGCCTTGGCTGGTGATGAGGCTTGGATAACACGAGATGTGGAGGCGATGGTCAATTAGGTACGGGTGCACGAACCCAGCACGTCAATCTAATTTAAAGCTATCTATCGCCAAATGCACGGCTAGCGTCAGGCAACCATCACGCCCGTTTCGCGGCAAAGCAAACAAAGGAGAGTCAGTTATCGTGCAGATTTCTCCCTCTTCATCATCTCCGTCCCTCTTCTCTGAACCTCGTTTTCCATCTTTCGCGCGACTTTCGCGCAGCCATTCGTTTTAATATACACCTAATACATGTCTACACCGCAACCTCAGCCCGCGCCCCAGGCGCCACAAATTACAACAACCTCTCCACTAGGACACACGACGGCCATTCCGAGCTCGCCTCCCGCGCAAACCACCAACATGCCGGATCATCCTGCCGCAGCCACAACGTCTCCTACACCCAGTGCACCTATGATGCCACCCCCATCGACCGCACCAGCCCCCGTAGACCCTGCTCAGAATACGTCCGCGGACGACGAACCTCTCACCTACAATGAACAGCTCAATGCCGCCGACCGCTACTGGAAATTCAAGATGGCTTTGAACATCGCACTAATCCTTGCTGGCATCATCGGCATCGGTTGCATAGCCTGGGCTCTCGACACGGCCAACAGATTGCTTTCCGACTACAACTACGGCTTCGATAGCACCTGGTCTCTGCCCTGGGGTCTAATCACATTCTCCATCTCCATCATCTGGTGCATGCTCTGCATCGCCCTATTCGTCTTCCGCAAGCGCCCCGTCCACCCCGGCGTGCGCGTCACCATGGACTTACTCCTCTGGCTCGGCTTCCTCGTTACCGCGCTCTTCACCCTGGTTGCACTCTTCGACGTCCTCTACTGGGGCGAGGACGGCTCGTTGGATTATTCGAGTAACTGGAGTAGCAGGTATGGCGGTTATGTCCTGCAGAAAAACAACACCTGGGTGTGGGAGCAGAGCAGTAGTTACTCGGGCGTCACGGGGTTCGATCGCTCGTGCAACGGCTCGTCTAGCAGCAACAATTACTACTACACCAACCTTCCCTTCCACAACTGCGCGGAAATGGATGCGTATGTCAACCAGCTCTGGCAGGAGAAGCCGAATCGCGCGCGTGTCGAGCTCACGGGTGTCGTGTGCCAGTTTCTCGGTCTGGTGTTGCACTTTACGCTTTTTGTCTGGGCGTGTGTGGACTGCCACAAGCACCGGCACTCCAAGGTATCAAAGGACGCGGAGAAGATCGCAGCGGGGATCGTCGAGAACATAGTCCGGGGCGGTGCAATTGTTCCGCCGCCGGGGCAGGCACAGATGTGCATTGCTGGGTGGCAGCCAACATATCATCAGTTGCCGAGTCAGTCGAATGGCTTTTCGGGGCAAGGACAGGAGTTTGCTGTGCAGGGGCAACAGCATCCGATGTATGCGCAGCAGATGGGAGGGCAGGGTACGCAGCAGATGAGGATGCAAGAACGTATCAGTAAAGAGAGCCCATTGCCTCCTCTGCCGCCAAGGCATGAGCAGGCGCAAGCAGGACCAAGTGATGACAAGGCTGGGGGTGTTGCGGCGAGTTACTACGAGCCTGGGCGGTAATGGGTGTGACAGGAACGGAGGATGAAGGAAAAGGAGGATGGAGAAGAGAACGTGTGAATAGATGCAGAAACTTGGCATAGATACCCATTCAATCATAGGTAGTAATACCACAATTCGCCCTCTTGTTTGGAATTGCATCCTGTGCGGTCTTGCTGATACTGCGCGCCCTTGAAAGCGAACTAGCTCATGCTGATGGTGCAATGACATATCCACGCGTATTGATTTGGCTCAAGAACACAGAGGAGAGTGGCCAGATAGCGTTGGTCTTATTCTGCTAAACTTTGGATTACTGTATTGAAGGCGTGGTGTGTGATGAATTCCCGTGCGAGAAGACGTGCTCGAAGTAATGGGAAAACAGCGCTCGGACGCAGGAATACTCAAAGTAATGATTCGCACCCGACTCGGTGCACAATGTTGTTACCGAGCAGAAGATCAGAGGGCCACAGATCTGCTCACTCTTTCCGCAACGGATTCTCTTGTTGCTTGTGGAACGAAATCTGCTGTCGAAGGCGCACACGGGCGAACGGCTGGCACGCATCAACTACAACAATGATGGAAATAAGCAATTGCTGAGAGCTTGGATTGGTGCCATCTCCGTCATCGTACAGGTCTTCCTCTAACCGCATTGACATCGTCTAACAACAATCAAACGAGCTGGCCGCTCTCTAATCGAGTCCTCTCGGTGGTGCGACTTCCTCGCTGACGTCTAGTCGCGCTGCACATTCTTCTGGACCACACCACTCTGTCTCGAGCGGAGCCATCCTTTGCTGTTCTTTCCATTGAAGGCAAAGAGACGCGATGGCTCTGCGGGGTATCGGACAGTGGCGGACTGTATCGAAGTGTCTTCTTCTCTCCACTTCTTTCCCCTCTCGTCATTCCTCCTTCCCCATTATTCATTAGTCGATCGGATGGCTTCCCAGGGCACTCTCGCCCCTCATCCGTATTACCTCAAGGGAATGCGACCTCGAACTCGGTCGTGTCCATACCCCAGATCTCGATCCACTCCACGCTATCCCTGCTGACCTTCTCGATATGCCTCACAGGCCCTGCTCTTTTCGCGTTCATGCTGTTTTCCTGCCCTGCAGGTATTTCCGGCCCTCCTTTCGACGGGAAGATGACCCCACCAAACTTGTACACCAGTCTTTCTCCCATGCCGAAATATTCCACGTTCCTGTACTCCGGTCGCCACATCTCTGTCGCGATGGCAAATACATGCATGTCTTCTGTCGCATCGATCTTATCCGCTAGTTCCGTGCCCGGTCTGACCAGGACTCGTATCGCCCACAGATTGGGGACCAGACTCATAATCTGGCGCAGCGATTCGAGCGGCGGCACGATACAGCTGAACCCCAACTGTTCTAGATTGGGTAGTGTTTGGCAGATCTTGTACAGCGCATTGTCGGTGAGCTGCCACAAGTCTGAAAGCAGCAGGTGTCGTATCCCGCGGTGATTCGATTGAATGACGGCAAGGAAGTCGCCACCGATGCCGCGACATTGGTGCTCGCTGATGTAGGGCGTGCCAACTGCGCTGGTACTTCCGCTGGTCATGCCGGGAGTTGCAGCGGAAGGGGTAGTCGGTGTTGCTGCGGTGCTGTCTGATTTCGGGGTTCCTCGAGCCCGCTTCGTACTGACTATGTACACGCGCTCGAGGCCTTTGAATTCTTGGAGCATGCGCACAGCTTCCTTGTCCACAGTGTCCAGACGTATCATCTTCAGGTTGGGTTGCACGGGTTGTTTGTGCTGCAGTCGCCATGTGTCGTCAAGGAAGACTGTCATGGGATCTGAAGAGCCCATCGAATTGATGACCGTGACCTCAGAAATTGTCAAAGGGTTGAATATCAGTTCACTGCTCTCACCGAAGAACCGTGCGTACAGGTTCCACATTGCGAAGCGCTTGACGGGTAGTGAGACCTTGTTCGCAACACATCGGGCGAACATGGACATTAGATTGATCGATTCCTCCCCGTTCTCGCGCATCCGCGGGCTCCAGTGCAACTTTAGGTTCTCGAGCTCCTTTGCGCTGGCAAGAACCAGCGAGATGTCGTCCGGATAGCATAGCGGGTCGATATCGTATACGACGAGGGTCTTCAAAGCCGGTAACGGAGGTATCGTGGTGGTCGGTCGAGGTATTCGGTTCGTCTGACACCGTAGCGTGAGTGATATAAGTGAGGGCTTGTTCGTGAGACCCTGGTAGACAGTGCTCAAAGGCTTAGTATTGAGCTCCCAGCTGCCGCACATCAGCACTGTTCACAACACATGAGCGCCATATACCTACGCGAAAGCTTGGAGGTTCTTCATCTTGTCAAGCGCGGCGCGCATAGCAATCTGCAGCACCATGCTGTTGTCCGGCACGCGCCCTTGCTTGTAGTCGTCGACATCATGCTCGCGCCATTCGCCAATGACCCGGAATAGCTGCACGTAGTCTGTAAAATTCCGCGACACGAGTGTGTTTAGTCCTGAAGAGAACGGGCTTCCTCCGCCAAACCCCTCGGGCCGCCCGTCAACGTAGCGTATCTCGGCATGAGAGCGTAACGTGACTTCCTCATATAGGCGGGGCAGGGTCATGTAATAGAAGAGACGCGAGGTCCTAGTGATTCGCGCAAGGTCGCCGACATCGTCGAGCTGTCATGGTCATCAATATGGTGCAATGAGGTCATGGGTCGAGCGCATGTGAAAGCACTGCACACGACAGCACGTACATATGTGAGGATGAGCTGGATGAGGTGCAGCGGCAGCTCCTTTGCCTGTGCAGCATTGGGATGAGAGCGCGCCGGCGACGTGAACCAGGTGTGTATGGGCGCAGTGATGGGTCGCTCTGCGTTGCGGAGGTTCTGGGAAGCGGTCGCTGCTGAGGCAGTCGCGTCCGCGGGCGTGCGGCGGGCGGTGTTCGGCGTGCTGTTGGGCATGGGCGGCTACACAACCACAACAGTCTCCAGTATGGGGTGGAAGCAGTGGGTCATGGTCAGCATGCTCATTGAATGTCTTTCTGACAGCTCGATGATTCCCTTGACGGCCCGTCACAGCTCTAACTCTATTTTCTGGTCGGTAGCCGCAAACGCCGATGGAAGCAGCTACAACCCTCCGAGCGGATTCCGCGTCCGCCGTGTTGGTCCGCCAGACTTGCATAGCCCTGCAAGATCTTCCCCAGGAACTCGGAAGCTAGACCTGTCATGGACCCTGGGGTGCACCATACATTTCGTACACGATGAATACGGTGACGCCATGCCGCCCGTTCTCGTCCCCTCGTTCTCGCTCTCGCACGAACGAGCCACTCTGCTATCCAAACACCAACTGCTAGCCCATGATGACACACCATGAGCCTCAATAATCACCAGCCCTTTACCCACTGTCTTTGTCGCTGACCGAGCGATGCCCCTGTGCCGTTGCTCGAAACCGATCACACCCTCTGGAGGTATTCAACCCTGCAGTCCGTATACTATCGTATTGCACATCGGCCAAAACTGTGGAGGCCTTCAATGCCGGGCTGCTAGAAACTCTGGAGCCATGGCATTCGACCCTTGTAAGGATCTCCTGGATATTGGAAGGGCACTTCGATCGTGCCTTCGAAAACACTCATACGAGGTACCCCGCCTTCTCCAAGGTCAACGGCCTCGAGTTTTTCGTTTGGCACCGGAACAATGACGCCGCACTCCCAGTTCCTCATGGTCAGCTTGCCCATCTTCCCGCTCTTGAGTACCTTCTGGGCTCCCCAGGCCGATTCCGAGATATTCGCTGAGCCTACGTATACCCACGCGAAGGGTTTTCCATTCATGTGCCGTCCACGTGCGAACAGTAGCTTGTTGTGTGATATCATGCCTTTGCGTGTTGATATGTAGTCGCGGAGGCATTCAGCAGGAAACGAGGGTGAGCTGTAATGTGTCTTCCTTAAGGAAATGACCCCAGCACAGTCGGGACCACCCAGACTATTCTTGATGGTGTCCTCAGTAGGATAGTAGATGCGGAATCTCTCTTGAAGGTCCACTGCCTTCGGAGCGGTGAATGGCAGACCTTGCGCAGCGAAGTAGATGCGCTGGAGCAAGGTTTCATCGATCGCGCCTAGGGACGAAGCCGCATAATCGAGCTCAATAGACCCCACTTGGTCGAGTTGGAGATCTTGAACAGCTTTCGCGAGACCAGGAAGGCCCGTAGGGTGTGAAACTGTGTCAGAGGGGCTACCACTGCTATACGTGAGCCAGCGCCCACGTGTATACTAGTGGTCAAACTTACATGGAGTGGACGAAGGCAAGGTGCCCAGTTTGAGAGAAATCGAACTTCAGCACCCCCTTGACGATTAGTGGGTCGAGTTGCTGGGCCTCCAGAAAGTGCACCAACTCTTTCCCAAATGGCGTGAGGTCTTCCACGCTTCCCACAACAACATCAACTCTTCTTGGCAGATCAATGACGAAAACTGAGTTCTCCAAGACTCCAGGCTGCCAGTCGTTTCTCACTTCGCCCCAGTACTCCATCTCCATATTCGCTGTAGATACCACAACTCTTAACTTCTTTTCACTAACAAGCAGCATGTATTTGCTGTGCGCATTCCCGACGGCAGCGTTCATGGACGGAAAGTGGATTCGCAAGTTGGGTATGCCGCACTCTGCCAAATCTCGTCTCCATCTTGCTTGAGTCTCTGCATCTCTTGCGTTCATGATCCAATGCTGCTTGACCTTGGTATGACTGAGTTTGCGGCTCAGCCACTCGGCATCCCACTGGAAAGAGCTGATGACTGCAATGTTGACCATGGATGCTTGCAGCAGCTCATCAATAGTGATATCATCGGTCCGACGAAACTTAGTGGCGAAAGTGCGCTTGATAGCTCCTCTAGGGTATTGTGGTACGGGATCTGACTGTGACTGGGAGCTTGTGGACTTGTTCACCGCTGCAGGTGTCGGTGCTTTCAGTAGTTGTTTGGAAGGCTGGTCTGCAGATGGACTACGCTTGCGCTTGCGCTCCTCCAGTCGTGCAAGACGCTCTGCTTCCATAGCCTTACGATTGAGGACAAACTTATTGCTTGTCGGCGAGGTTTGCTTTGTATTGGGCATGGATTTGGGCACCGCTTGAGTCAGCTGTGCCATTGGTGTGGCGGTGTTAGAACTCAATTGAACGTGGGCTGCAGGTGCTGATGTAGGCTCTATACATTTTGCAGACTGCGGAATATCTTGCATCGATAATGCAATTGCTCGCTTCAGATCTGCGTCGTCATCTTCACTCTCATTGTCCGAGGTGAGATCGACAATCGCTTTGTTTGTTGGCGCGACAGGAGGGCTCTGCTGCATGGATAATGCCATAGCCAACCGCAAGTCCTCGTCGTCGTCTGAAGATGCCATCGCATTGCTGGTAGCTGACACTCAGGCTATGTGGTGCTGTGTTGTCGTGTTTGATGCTGAAGTGAGAGGCTCGGTATGTAGAGCTTCGCAAGGCGAGGCAGGCAGCCGCGCGACACGCTTTCGCGCTAGCACGTGCGAGCTGACGCCACAGAAGTGCTTCACTATCAATGTTCAACCATGTACCCACGATATAGGTGGCTTTCAGCATTACATCTACTCAATCTCTTCATTTCTTTATTTCACGGTCTGCACGATAGCTACCCTCCATGTAGTGTCGACACGAACATGATGTGATCGTCCTTCTGCAGCACGTACTGATCTTCACCCTCCAACTCCCAGTCTGCCTCGTTGATGAGAGCCAAGATCCCTGGACGTCTGTTGTACAGGTTAGAGAGCTTCTGGAAATTTTTCAGCTAGACTCACACGGTGTCGTCGAGGACGAACAGGTCTTTCCTGGGATCTTTCATGACGTTGTCGCAAAGGTACCTCACAAGAAAAGCTACGTTTGATGGTGCACCGGATTCATCTTTGCTGGGTATCGTGAGGGCGTACTTTTTCTGATTTGCGAAGAGTAGCTCCAGTCCCCCGCTACTGCTGTCAGAATTTGTCATGTTGCAAGGCTGCAAGAAACATACCTGAACTCAACGTTTATGGACAAGGATTCTTCACTCATAGCCAAAATAGCGCTGAATCTGCTGAAGGTCGGTCACTGATACGAAGCCGGCTGCGACTGCTGCGAAGGACCCTCCAACTTGGGCCTAAGCTCAAACAGGCGTGCTAAGCGAGAGCTAGTGCCAAAGAAATCCTTGAGATGATGACTAGCCGCAGGGCCTACAACTCCACATTGCAAAGACCTCAAGATGAACATATCGCCTGAATTTGTGTCAGTAGGCGGCAACAGGAACCCGGCCGCTGCAGATTGGGACGTAAACGGCTCAGGCGTCTTAGCGTTTGGCGCCGACAATTGTATTGCATTGTGGGATCCTCAAGTAAGTCTACTTGTGAGTTGCTATAGGATACACTGACCGGATATAGGATGAGAAACTTAGCGGAGTACAAGCAGTATCGAATGGACACACTAAGGCTGTCAACGCTGTCAAGTTCTTCCCTACAAGATCACCAAGCGTTTCCGTGCTTCTCAGTGGCGCAGCGGACAACACAATCCGCATCTGGCGTGCTCAGAATAATAGGAAGCCTAAATATGAATGTGTCAAGAGCGTCTCTGGTCACGCAAACCCCATAACCAAGATAGCCACTTTATCTGGATCAGACATCTTCGCTTCCGGTTCCTCAGATGGTTCTGTCAAGATATGGAAGCTTGTCCACGATGACAGATTCACATCCATCGATGTCGAGCTGCTGCAGACGATCGCTTTGTCGCCGAAGTATTTCCCTTTGATTCTTGCCCTTGCTCAACTAGACACCGAGTCAATGGTACTGGCAGTTGCAGGCACCCGCCCCACTATTCAGATTTTCGTTTCTCGAGATACCCAGTTTCAACTTTCAGCAACACTCATCGGGCATGAGGGTTGGATACGAGCCCTTGACTTCACTCGCGAAACATCGGACTCAAGCAGCGACCTGTTACTAGCATCTGCAAGTCAAGACAAGTACATTCGCCTTTGGAGATTTCACCAGGGCAACGAGCTTCCGGCCGCAAGTAGCGCACTCAACGACCCAGCTCTGGGAGGTCTTGTTAAGTCGCTATCGAACAAGGCCCACTGGATCGAGTCAGCAACATCAAAACACTCCATCACTTTCGAGGCTCTGCTCCTGGGACACGAGGATTGGATCTACACGGCTTCATGGCGGCATAGAAATGACAAACTTCAGCTGCTTTCAACCTCAGAGGACAACTCCCTAGCCATTTGGGAGTCCGATCCAACATCAGGCGTTTGGGTGTGCATCACAAGATTGGGCGAGATCAGCGCACAGAAAGGTTCGACCAGCGCAACAGGAAGCGCAGGAGGATTCTGGATCGGTCTTTGGTCGCCGGATGGTAACTCCGTGGTATCTCTGGGAAGGACAGGAAGCTGGAGGAAGTGGACCTACTCATCGACCGAAGATATGTGGACACGGCAGGTCGCAATCACAGGGCATGTTCGGGAAGTCAGAGGAGTGACATGGTCAAGAGATGGCTCCTATCTACTTTCGACATCACAAGATCAAACGACACGGCTCTTCGCGGAGTGGAAGCGGGAGGGTAGCGCGCCGTCATGGCACGAATTCTCCAGACCGCAGATCCACGGCTACGACCTTAATTGCGTGGATGCGATAAGCGACACGGAGTTCGTGTCCGGTGCCGATGAGAAGCTTTTGCGTGTTTTCGACGAACCAAAAGGTGTCGCAGAAATTCTAAGCAAGCTTTGCAATATCGAGTCTAGAAACACCGCCGATCTCCCAGATGCAGCCAACATACCTGTACTTGGCCTCTCGAATAAAGCCATTCAAGCCGTAGGCGACAATGAGCCAGTGGAAGAGGGTGAAGAAAACGAGCGTGATGCTGTCGATCCAGCATCCATCGTCCGCAAGTCCGCTCTGGAGTTTTCTCACCCACCGTTCGAAGACCACCTTGCTCGACACCTCCTCTGGCCCGAGACAGAGAAGCTCTATGGCCACGGATACGAGATCTCTACAGTTGCAGTCAGCCGCGATAGCAGCCTGATCGCAACAGCATGCCGAGCAAGCTCCATCGATCATGCGGTCATTCGCCTTTACGACACAAAGGATTGGCTCGAAGTGAAGCCAGCGCTGAAGGCACACTCACTTACGGTTACTTCGCTGCAGTTCTCACCTGATGACAGATACCTGCTCAGTGTTGGACGCGATAGGCAGTGGGTTGTCTGGGAGCGCATCGACGAGCCCTCATTGTACGCCTTGAAGTACTCGAATTCAAAGGGCCATTCGCGCATGATCTTGAACTGTGCTTGGTCACCGCTCGAGCAGCCGACGTTTTTGACAGCGGGGCGGGACAAGTCAGTCAAGATATGGCAAATCGCGGACAGCGAGGTGCGGCTGAAGGGTACGGTGGCTGCAAATGCCTCCATCACCGCCATTGCGAGCAGCGCAAAGGTCATGAGTGGGAAAGCGTGGTTTGCATTTGGAACTGAGGCTGGTGAAATCGGCATTGCGAGTGCGAAGGCGGAGGCGCTAGACAGTGTTGAAGTGACAATGGTCAGCGCAGAGAGCTCGCCTGCTAAGACCATCAACCAGATCGTCTGGAGACCGGCTAGGAGTGAGGAACAAGGCCAGCAGATTGCGGTGGCAGCGGATGATTCTTCAGTACGCGTTTACAATATCGTAGGAGGATCAGCACAAAGTGCAGCATAGATGGTGACACTGGTGTCCAGCGCAGTGAATTACAAGAATAGACTGTGCAAACGATGACCTGGGGACTATCAAGCCTAGTTTACCTACAAGACAACAAAAGCTAGCATCATCGCAAGCAAGAGAACTCGAAGTAGTTGCATCCCCTTCCAGCTACTACCGTAGGCGGTGAACTCAGCGTAAAGGTACCCAAAAAAGCGGGGTGACTTTTTCAATCAGCAAGTGACCAACAAAGCCTGGCAACCCCATGCGCCTTTGGGACGCAACCAAAAACGCACAAAGAGCCGTGGCGACATTGTGCGCCTCTGGGATGACACCGAAAGCACACAAGATACCTGGGCGACTTTGAGGCAATCCGCAAGTGACTGTGCCGACAGGCCAGGAGCTCTTGGTTGACAAAGTACAAGAGATGGTGAGGGACAATGCCCTAAAGAAGTGAGAGCTTCAGGTAGCTCACATCAAAGTGTAGAAGGATGGCAATGCCAGACCTGTCCTTCTTCTTTACCTTCGACATCGGTGGGTTGTAAGGCTATGCTGGCTGTATCCTTAAAAAGTTTGTGTTTGGTGTTGTAGGAGGGCTCTGAGGGAGCTCTTGTAGTCGGTATGGCAGCTCACAGGAATGCAGCCGGTATGGCACAGGTGTGCAGTCGGTGGGAGTGGGTGTAGAGAGCCGGCGCTCTGTCGTGTGAATGAAAGCGGCCACCTATTTGTGTGGACTATGGGGAGATCTACATTCGCTCCGACCTTCTATGGTTCCAGAGTCACACTTAAGCCTAACTTAACTCATCAAAACTAACGTGGTCTTAGGCTATCGTCAATTCTGCAATCAGCTTCTTTGAGTTTGGCTACACAACTTGAGAAACATGGGCCGGGAAGACATTTGAACCCACGTTTGGTGAGCTTGATGAATGGCCACTGAAGCATGTCAATGATGGGCCACTGAGGGAGGATTGCCCGTTGAGATGCCGCACCGCCTACGAGTTGATACTGGCATCCTTGGAATACGTGAAACCCCTTAATCGAGCGTTTAATTCCTGATTTGACTAAGTAGATGCCGAACCGCCTGACGAACGATCGCAGTCGAATCCTCACAGGATCAACCCACCGACTGGAAACGATTTGTCGCAGAGTAACTTTGGGCGTATTGACACTCTGGAAGCTTTCCAGTTGCTGATACTAGCACTGTGAAGAGAGAACCGGCAATCCCACCATTCCCCCTGGTCGATCTCGACGAAATAAGACTCGTACACAGGTTTGGTCTTAGACATACAAACACGATGAAATAGCAAGAACACCGTGTGAAGTTCATGAATTCTTTACATTGACTTTGCTAAAGAGCAGCAGGATATCTAAGAGTTACCGCCCTTCTGTCCAGCCTCAATGGGGTCAACCTTACCATGAGCAAACTCTGTACACAATCAGCACACATCCACCCAAACAACAACCGCATCACGTACGGCCTTTGGCGGAACCACCGCTGTTACTGGAGCCAGTGAAATCAGAATCACCAGATCCACCGGAAGCGTGACCACCCTGCTTTCCTGCCTCATGAGGATCGACCTTGCCTTGTGCAAACTCTGTGGTGTTGTTAGTACTGTGGTGATGAAGGGAAGGCGAGGGAATATATACCGCCAGTGCCGACGCGCTTGTCAGGCTGGCCGTCTTGGCGGAGACCGCCGTGCTCGGTAGGCTTGTAGTCAGACATGTTGGTGTGTTGGTGGTTGGGGTTGGAAAGGTGGTTTGATGAGGTGTTTGCTGTGTGGAGTGTGGAGTGTGGATGAGTGAGTTACTGAAGGAAGAAGTAATGCTTCGACCACAGATACTTATACTTCGGGGTCACGCTCTCAGATCTGAAATTGACCTTATTGTCCACATGGTGCGTCATCTTGCGATTGCATCACGCACCAGCCCCTGACGCGGTGAAGCTATTAGCTGCGGTGCCGGAGGTGTCTATGATGTAACAATTGAGGACCATAATGGCCGTTCTCCACGATGTTGCAAGAAGGCGGCAGCAAGCAACGACACGATGATAGGATGACCACAAAGACAAGCAATTCTGCTAGCCAATTGCAGCATGTGAGGACATCACTTGCGAGTTCGACCCGGCCTAGCTGTCAAAAGGTTGTCGGAGCAACTTTGGCATCGGCAACCAATTGTGTTGATGGTAGGCACGTAACATGGAGGATTCGAATGTCCATGAGACGTTAGAGTGCCCTGTGCCTGGCAGATCCGTACGCTAAGGATGTTAGCGATCTGGGCTGGGGGTTGCCTAATATGGTAGTCTAAGTGGTGCGTTATAATTTTAGCGACGTCACGACTGTTCGCGTATCTCGCGTTGCGCGTCAGTGCGGCCGCGACAATACGTCAATTGCATGATGAAGTACCTGAAACCGTAGAGCAGTGTTGCATGACCTGATGACGTGAGACTGAGGATGCACCTCTTGTCCAGGATCAGGACTAGCCTATTTTGTATTTTCCCATGACGCCTACACTATTTCAACTGTACGACAACGGGATCAACAACCAATTGCAACGGCATTGGGCTCGTAACATGGGTAAGTCGAAACACTACTAGCATTGCCATCGGTAAGGCGGTTGACCTTGAGACGTCAAAGTGCCATGTGCCTGACAAGATGGGTACGATCGCGCTAAGACCTTGCATATAGAAATCTCGGGATGTCTGAATGACGGCTCGCGTGGCCATACCGAGAGTACTAGCTATGAATTGACGTGCAGATGTGCATGGCTCCAGACCTGATCATGATTGATAAATTGATTGAGTGATTGGTTGATTAATTAACATTCTATATGAGTCTGGGACTATGGAAGACAAGAAGAGTAGTAGCTACTTGTTAGGGACGTCGATTTGATTGATTGATTGATTAATTGATTGATTGATTGATTGATTGATTGATTGATTGATTGATTGATTGATTGATTGATTGATTGATTGATTGATGTTACGATCCTACGTCCCACGATAGGACAACAGGCAATAAGTAACCACCAACCAAACACGGAAGCCTGGGGGAAGGTGCAGCAAGGCAAGGCCGCCCGGCTGGCGCCTAGGGGATTGCGCTCAACCGAGCTGACCCACGTGACAGAGCTCGTCAATGAGCATGGTACAATGCTCGTTGATGAACCGCAATCCATCCTGATTGGCCAGGACCAACTTTGCTCATCAACAAGCAGATCTGGTGGACTGTATATATATGTGTAGGAACACGACCCTTATGGTTTGTGTTTGTCACGGTATCCTCTCCAGATCCCCTGACAATATCCGGATCCGCTCCGTACTGTCCCTGACCGTATGCACCAAATCCCCAGCGTCCTTACACTCCTCCAAAGCGGACGTACAACCTCCGGTCACCTCCGGAGCGGGCCTGCAACCTCCAAAGCGGGAGTAT